TAGTTTGTATACAACCCTCATATTTTAGTGATTAACATGAAAGTATTCATCCTACTTTTTTGACAGGATACTCTCTTTTGATGGACAAGTAAAAAGCACTTAGCTTATCTCAAGAAGTAGACCACATTGTATAAAATTATACAATATCTAAATCTCCATATTGTTCAAGATACTTAAAATTTTTAAATTTAAAAATTAGATTTGTACAATGTTTCTATTTTTCTAGAAATATATCATTATTTACAAAAGCAAGATAAGCATCACTATTTTTCAAATTACCATTATAATTTTCCTAACGGTGGTAATAATACCCTGAGATTGAGAATTTCTAGTTTAAATTATATTCTTCAGTTTTTCTCAATGAATTCTCAGAATCATTTTGCAGATTGGTTCATTGCTTTTGTTCTTCTTTTTTTTTCACATTTGCCTGTGTTCACTTTCTTAAGACACATAAGTGTTTATTGTTCTTTCTTCCCAATGTTCTCTCTTAGTACTTTAGTATTGAAGGACATGCCCTTTATCTCAACCCCTTCTATCCTCTTTCCTCTCACAGAGACTACATAGGCTTCTCAGAGGAGGAAATGAAGGAAAGAATTGAATTTGTGTCTTTTATGCCTCGGTATTTCTAAGTGACTTAGCCCATTGAAGTCATTGATTAGTTGGCTGGCAGTGGTAGCATTAATTCTATTAATTTTTAATCACTAGGAAACTCAGGAAACAAGACAAATGGATGTCTTCAGTTTTACTATGTTGGGTAGCTGGAGCTATAATCCAAACATTTTACTCAACAAAATCATGCCAGACTAACTGATCGATTTAAACTGAATGAAGAACCCATTGAGCACAGAGAAAATTCACTCAGACAAGCAGACCCAAAAGAGCAAGAACTTACCTCAAAGATAAGGCAGGTTTATAAAACCAAAGCCAGGTCTAAAAAATTTTGTGTTCAGATAATACAGTAATAAGTGATAGGTACATGGTACTACTCAAGGAGTTAGCTACTTGCTTTATGTATTTGTCAAAAGTGAATACTAATCAAGTAGGAGATTTCATTAAACTTACGCGGTATTTCAATAAGAATTAAGTTTATCAGAAAGGTGTGTGTAGTCTGACCGTAATAAGCTTATGGATATAAAGATGCTAATTAATTTACATTTTTTTAATTTTGCTGTATTATTTAAAGTATATTGTAGGGATAAATATTTTTCAGTGTATTGATGTATTTAAATTCAGATTGTTTTATGGCATATTTTATAACTATTTATTTTTAAAATGACATTTAAGGTGTATTTTTTCCCTATTTTGTTTGTTCTCTATCTTACCTCATCCAACTATTTAAGATTTCATTCGACATACTCAAGCTAAGTGGAATGGCACTAGTTTTATTCTAAATCCCACTTGAATATAATGCTTTGAAGCCTTGATTCCTATATGTTCATGACACATAATGAGCTTTTCGCTTATCTTAGCAATAAAGGATCTGACCCTAAATCAGGGAATTCTAAGGTGTGGTTATTAACATCATTTCTACTCTTCACCACCTCACCACTTCTTGTGGCTGAAGCTCCACACTTCAGTTCCATTCTGGTAGGTCTCAACCACAAAGATGCCCCCAAAGCACTCGCATACCAAGCATGAGCCACACAGATGTCCAGGGAACCTGTAAACTGGACTATTGCAGGTTCATGTTTATACTGTGCTGGAAATTATGCTTTTGCTTGTCACAGGAATCAGTGCTTGGTTCACAATAATTAAGTTTATTACCCATCTCCCTGGGAGCTCATAAAAAGCCTGGTCTAATGATTGTGAATAAGGATTACAAGCAGAAACAAAAATCAGAGAACGATCCATCCTTTGCAGCTTTTGTCCTACAAAAGTGATCGCCTCACTAAAGTCATTTAAGACTCATTGGTAGAGAGGGGCCTGAGCAAGATAAGAAATATCACAGTTAATTCTCATAAATATAAGCTCTTATGTCATTAATGATAAGGCAACAAGAAACATAGCATGTTTCTTTAACAGAAATTGATTTTATCAAAATATGCCAGTGGATTTACATGTCTGCTTAGACTGGGAAATGATTTACATAGTTCTTAACTATTCTCATCTTCAGGTCCCCTTATTATATAATAAATTAACCAGGTGCTCTGTAAGGAATATTCTCAAGCCTTTTCTCAGACAGATTTTCAACTTGGAGGCTAATGACAAATTCAAATAAATCTTAAAAAGAAAAGTAGTTTCTTGGAGCCAGTTTCCCTCATTTGTTCTCTCTCTAGCTATTCTTAGAAAACTTGTTGGAATCAAGAGTAAGATGTGGAAGCATGTGAAGGAGAAAGGACAGATTGCCGTTTATTAAGACTAAAAATAATATGATCGTTCCCTTTCTGATAACTGGATCTAACAAATATATTACACTTCCCCTCGCTAATCATTTAAAGAGCATTTGAGCATGTGTATTTACAGTCTTACCTTATAATGGTTAACAATTTTTACTTAATATTTACTGAACCATATGGACTTAATACCAGCATCCCAGATCACAAACTCACTGAATACAATTAAGTACAACTGAAGAGTATTTTACTCAATTAAAAAAAAATACTTGGCCTATATTTATAGAGCACAAGTATTCTTTATTAAAAATATTTAAAACCACTTATGTCCATTGCAAAATTTATAAGTGGCAAAATCACTACTTTGCCAGTACTTTTTCTCATTAGTACTTTTTCACTTCTTTTGCCAGGGCTAACAGAAAAAGGGGATTTTCTTTATATTTGGTATGATCCTATGTATTTTTAGTTATCTTCTTCCTATATTAATTTTTAATTATAGATATTACATGTCAGAAACACTGTTGCAGCCAAAAAATACAGTCAGAGGTGATCTTCTAAAGCAGGGATTTACATCAGCTTATTTCAGATGGCAAATAAGTCAGATTTTAGTAATGTTGAAGAATAGCAATATTCATTTAGACAGCTTGACATATAAAGTGTCTATAATCAAATCAATCACATAATTGATATGACTACTCATTCATACTCTTCTGCTAGACAGAAGTCAATTATCCCAAACCATGCCAGTGAATTTTTGTGCTCACTCAACCTGGGAAGTGATTTCCATAGTTCTTAATCAACCTGTCAGATATTTGGGATGAAAATCATATCGTAATGCCATAGAAGCACTGACTAGAAATAAATGAGCAATCATTTGTCCTTGAGTAACATGCCAGTCTCTAACCAACCTTAATTATTCACAGACTTCTCTCAGAGAGTGCTTCATCCAACTTTTAAAAAAAGCTCAAAGATGTTTGGAAATATCTATTTTGCTAGAGAGAAAGATTTGGCTTAATTAAATATTTATCAACACTCTTTCATTGAAGAGGATTTGCTGGATGTTTTTCTTTGCAATTTCTCAGTCAAGTATTTACTGCTTCTGTAAACTATTTCACTTAACTGAATTTACAATGGATTGTTCCCACCATTTGGAATGTGCTGGTTTGCATAATCTATTTGTAAGCGGTTGTTTCCAATATTGCTTATGGTATCCGTGGAGCTTGTTCAGCCTTTTATATATCAAGTTTGTAAAATAGTTAAATGAACTATTCTTTGAAATTTTATTTTTTAAAAATTTTCTTATGAATACAATATTATAGAACTGGGAAACCTATTTATTTGGTTAATTTTTCTTTTGCTGTATTTGATTATGTCACTCCAGTTAAAATAAAACCATCTTTGTGAAAAGATAAAGCAATGCCTTTGCATTTATTTGGTTAGATGCTGCAGTACCTAAAAAGGTCTGCCATTTATATAAAGATCATTTTAAGTAGTTAGATATCTCTATTTCCAAAAATTATCCATTCCACATGAAGGAACAATTCATGCTCAAAGCACAGAACTAGATGCCATAAGCAGCTTTAAAGAAATCCAAATATGGGAGGTGGGGGAGTACCTGGATGGCTCACTTGGTAGAGCGTACGCAACTCTTGATCTCAGGGTCATGAGTTCAAGCCCCATGTTGGGTGTGGAGATTACTTAAATAAATAAATCTTTTTAAAAAATTAAAAAAAATACAAATTATATAATGATTGATTTGGCCAAGCAAATAGGTCTAAAACTTTTAACTGTATAGCAAGTAAACACAAGAAAAAAATTGTATCAAAGACCCTATTAGGGCTGACTCCCCCTTGACTTGAGAGAACTGAATTCTATAAACTAACTGAAGATATTGACTGTTTTTGAGCACTGTGCTATGCCCTTGGGAGAAGTTACTTGTATGCACTATGACATAAAATTAATATATTAAGTCTGATCAATAGTTCATAGAAATGTCGATAAAACAGCCTGGCAACATGACTATGTAAATAGTAATAAAGTGTTTCAGTGGTCGGGCAATACCTATCTTATTGATAAGAATACAGTGTTTTAGCTGAGCTGTGTTATAAAATGTCTAAGAAAAATAGTGAAACATAAATCATTTTTGCAGCAGTGAAGTTCTGAATAGAAAGGAACTAACAAACCATTGAAATGAAAGCAGTGGTTCCTAACCTAGAAACCAAGCACTTATGTGGTCTATGAAGTCTGAAATAGTCTGCAAACATGTTTGTACATATGCACTCATGTGTTTTCTAGGGTGATGACCCCATAGCTTTCATTAAAATTTCAAAAAGTCCTTGAAGCTTTCCCCTATGGTAGCACACATACATACAAAGAACTTCTGTCACAGGGTAACACCCACTGAGGAACAGGAAGGGCTTTTTAATTTCTCTATAGAAAAAAAAGCACTAATATAAACGTGACTATGGAAATACCAGTAATTTAAAATTTTTCAGTGTTCCTAAGTTCAGTGATTTCTTTTCATTGAACATGATTAATCATAAGAAAACATGCAAGAGATTAAGAAACCATATTTATTTCTTCTTTGGTACAACCAGGGATGTTACCTCAAACCTTGAAAATAAATAATCTCATTAAAACTTATGAATGACAGGATATTAAAATTCCTTCTTTGCTTCACATAGAAGAGCTAAGAAAAATTAATGGGTTTGGGACACAGTACAGTTCAACAAAAATCCAGGCTGACTACAAAAACCAACACGTGCCATTAGGAAATCATTGCGTGCGGCCCAGCATGCTCTTGCCACTGCCAAGGGGACACAATGATGGGCATTTTAAGCACCAGTTCTATTGACTACTATGAGGTTTCTTCCTAACTAGTCTGATAATCCTCTGTATAACCGAAACAGTAATCTGAGAACAACAGCTAAATAAAAAATGAAAATAACTACTACAGCTAAGGGAAACCAAACAGTCGTTCTTGTTTATTGGCACAAAGGCCCATGATGTGTCACATGTGTACAGCACACTAGAGTTCAACATCCTGGGAATAGGATTATAAATTTATTTAAAGGAAGGGTTTTAGGTTTTTGTTGTTTTTTCTTTTTTTTTTTTTTTAATCTGATGACTCTCCTGTCTCCCCTCCAAGGGAAAAGGAAGAGCATTTATTGAATAGCACCATTGTTTTAAATCTGTCAAATAAGACATGTAATAACAATGAAGGTAATGCATTGTCGTCTTTTGCCTTGGCTTCGGTGGTGTTTCTCCCCCAAGCTCCTTTGCCAGACATGGTTTTTGCAGACAGCCATGCAGCACTAAGCTTTTCACTGGTCAGGCCCTTTGCTAAACGCCCGTTGCCCAGCCTGCATGGTGCAGGAGGCTGGCTCACAAAACCCAGGAGGGCCAGGAGGGCCTGGAGGACCAGGTACACCAGGAATTCCTGCCACCCCTGGGGGGCCTCGTTCACCATCCCGGCCATTCCTCCCGTAGCTGGCAGGACCAGGCTCACCTGAAACACAAATGATTGCATACATGAACAAGAGAGCCCCAATGGCTGTGAACTGGCCCAAGGCACTGGATTCCCTCCCGTAGCCCAGCAGGGTACACAGAGGGCCTTAGTAAGTGCTTTTGGAAAGGATGGATGGAGATCGATGATGATGATGATGATAAAATTCCTCCACTGGACTTGGGTTTCTTAGAAATTAAAAATGGAAGGAGACCTCAGCCTCTCTAGTATGTTGGCCTCTAGCCACATAGGTCTATTGAGCACTGAAATGTACTAAGCCATATTGGGATGAACTGTAAGTGTAAAACACACTGGAATTTTGAAAACTTGGTATAAATTTTTAAAATATATTTCATTAACAATTCTTGTTTTTATTACATAATAAAATGATAATATTTTGGACACCATGGGTTAAATAAACTATAATAAAACTAATTTCACCTGATTCTTTGCCTTTATTAATGTGGCTACTAGCAGATTTAAAATTATTCACACAATTCTCCTTGTGGCTTGCATCATCCCTAATAGGTGCATCAATCTCCAGGCAGGGAGTGAAAGTATAGCTCAGTGGTTAGAAGAACAAGATTTAAAGACAGGTCTTGCTCTGCCATTTGTGAATAGGGTGATGTTAGCAAGTCACTAACCTTTCAGTTTCTTCACCTACAAGACAGGATGATACCTTCCTTAAAACTAAATTCCATGCCTTGAAAGCATCTAATAAATAGGTGCTATTATAATCATTATCAGTGATTGATGTCTTAGAAGCCTGTGTAAAGCACCTACAAAGGTCCCAGATGTTTTCCCAACAGGGGCTCACCTCTATGTGAACTTTTATGAGGGCCTAAGTGCCTAGGGAGCATTTCTTCCCGTTGTCATATTCAAAGGTTGTTTGATCACCCAGTGGAGCATATTCTCTGAGGCAGGGCACCCCATAACAGGAATTTAGGCTATTTACCCAACCCATCATACAAGCAGTGTTTTCATCCTATTAGCGTAAAGATGGCAGGAAGAAATTGATGTAAAACAACCTGTATGTGCCATGATGATATGGTTTTATAGAGATCCTCATTCCATTTCAGCCATCCTACCTCGGGCATTTAGCCAAAACACTGAACATGTTCAATTATATATTTGCTTAGATTTAATTACTTTCCTTCTTTCTCAGTGGTTTTCTTTTTCTTTTCTATTTTAGTGGTCTTATTACACATGTCTTTTATTGATCTTATTCTAATGGCCTACTCTTATTAAGTGGCCTTATTATATATATCTCACATACTTTTATAAGGAAGACAGAGATCCTAATTTATATATAAGATCTCCTTCTTCCTGTTATGCCTACACTTAGCCTCTTGCCTAAAACCTTAAATTTAAGAGAATTTATTCTCTACTACATAATAATATTAGAAAGCAGAAGGAAAGCTTTTTAGGTTTTCATATTTAGTTCCCTATTATCACATTCCAGGAGAGGCTTTTCACTTGCTGCATTTATTCCAGAAAGAGCTGATGAAGCCGTCCTGTATACCCACAATTTATTTTGTGTAAAGTACATCTAGTCCATTTCTCCTTTGGGCAAATACAGCTTTTGATGTTGTCATTGTTGTCATCCTCCTCATCTTTCACACTTATTAAATGCTTCTGCTTTACAACGGCCATGAACTGTGCTCATTATTGATCCTATTTTCCTCTTTGGTGAACTGAGAGTTAAGAAGGCTAAATAATCGTCCATGGTCACACAGCTATAGGATGCTGCAGCTAGAAACAAGGGCCCTTCACCACTACCCCAACCTAACCCTATTTCCATACTCACTGATTAGCTAGTTTTGCAGAGGTGTGTGTATGTGTGATTGCGAGTGCGTGTGCCCACGTGTGTGGGTGGGAGGGTGTTTTTTGTTTAATTCTTTGGGCCTGAATTGACTAAGAAGTAAAAAGAGGCACAATAATCAAGTTAGTACTGATTCATCTGGAGCTCTATCATAACAAACCAAAGATATTTTTTCTGAGGTTTTGTCCTGTACAAATGACCAGAGGGAAAAAACAGCTATCATGTAACATAGCATCAGTTCTGGTGAGTCTAGACCCTGGGCATTTAATCTCAAATGTTCTTGTTATTGATTTAAGAGTGTAATTTTGGGGTGACGCTATGTCACAGTCCATTCAAGGAGTCCAGCGGTTGCATTAGCGAATATCTATAAACCACCCTCCAACTCCTGAGAAGAAAGCAGATATGACGTGTTCTCATTCTGCCTCATGGGTATTTTAGCTGCACTAATTAACTGAAGACTACACAGTTTTCTGAAATTCAAGGACCTATAAAAACATTATTGCCAAACATGTTATTTTTTAAAATGACTGTGTCATTCTCTGTATGAACACTAGAGGGTAGTCATGTTACATTGATGGAGGCCAGTCCAGCTGGACGGTTCTGAAGGATTTAATAGATGCCCAGAGTGAAAGGGACTGTGTATAAAGACCTTAAACAAAAAACAACCTGCAAGTAATTTTCAGCATTAATTTGGTGATTTATCCATGAGTTATGTGAAATGTTTATATGTGCCAGGGACTTCCTTGCATTTCTCACCTTATGCTGTGCTTATTTTTGTGGTGTTTGTCAAAGCATACATGTCTAAGGAATTGGCATAAAGTGGTTTGTTTATATAAAATCCCAGTAGCCAAATAAAATAAATGTAGTGATGGAACTAGGATAAATGGCCACTGCTAAACTAGCCTAAACTGAGTGTGCCCTTGGTTTGGGGCTTCTTGGGTTTTTTTCCACTCAATATTCACAAGCAAAGTTCACCTATGTGAAAATTTTGCAAAAGAAACCTAAATAGCCCAGTTGCCTAGTGTGACCCAGCACAAAGCCAGCTCTACCCTTCTTTCCTTGTCCAAGAAGCGAAAGCATGTCCGCTCACAAGCCACATTCCTGGTAGTCACATCCATATGAGTCCCTAGTTAACTGGCTTCTTTCCTTCATGAGCTTGCACAGTGGAGATCAAGACCTATTATTAAACATTTTTCCTTAAAAATCCTCAGAGTACCAAGGAATTGGCCCCAAGTGGGCAAGTTTGGCGGTAGCAGGCGTAGTTTCTCTTAATGAGACAACCCAATCAAGCGATACTACCAAAGGCCTGTGGTAAGAAACTGAAGCTGGGGGGCGGGAGGGGAGGGGCAGGGGGTTGGGAGCATCTAGAGTCCCAGGTATCTAATGTGATCCACACTGTTCCATCAGAGAGGCAGAAAAGGAACCAAGGAACTAAATGGTTATGGGACATGCTGAAGTTATATGGCTAGAGTGGCAAAGACAAACTAATCACAGTACTAGACAGCCAGCTCATCATTTTGTCTACTGCACGAACCTGGACCTAGAAAGTATGAATATTTGCCTCTGTCACCTAATACCTGAGAGACCTTTGTCAGGGCAGGTGACCTTTGTAATATATGTGTCCTCTATTATAAACAGAGGAATACAAAATAATCATAGCTAAGTTTGCAAAATGCTGGCCATGCACCAAGCACCATTCTAAGTGTTTCACATGTATGGACACAGACCCTCCTAAATAACTCTAGAGAGTAGATGTGGTTATTAACCTTGTCATACCAAGGAGAAACTGAAGCGCTAAGAGGTAAAGTAGCTGCAAATAAGGGAAAGAGCAGTTATTGCACCCTGAAAGCCTGGCTCCACAGCCCATGCTTCTTAAATACCTACTCTGCCTACCTCCAGCTGTGAGAAACAAACTGGAAGACTTATGGAAACTTTTCAGACAACAGAGCACTATAGCCAAAATGATACAGTGTGGGTTAATAATGACGTATGGTCCATACTAACCAATGTATCATTACAACCCCAATGGCCGCATAATACTTAACACTGAACATAATTATTAATGTATTAGTTACAGTTTTTTCAAATACATCAAGTATGTTTGCATCAGGAAGAACGAGCAAATGAACTTTTTCCATCCAGGAGGATTTAAGTCCCGAATCGAAGTCCCAGTAGGGACAACAAAGAAGGTCACAGGATGTCCTGTTCTGCAGGCTCTTTCAGGTACCAGACAAGTTCCTGCAAAGAGTACTATTAGAAGTTCCTCTAGACCCTAACATCCTATTAATATTATGCTTGTGACAGACAGGAAACCACATTCCTAATCACATTCCAAGCTCCACCAGGGAAATTAAAAGGTCTAGCCTCTCAGTGGACAGTGAACCAGTTCAATAATTTACTGTGAACCAGTACTCTGCATTTATTATTTGGAGTCAAAGTCACCCAATGTCATAAAGCTAGTAAGTGAGAAAGTCAAGATTTGAACCCAGGATGTCTGAATTGTGGAGCTCCAAATAGCCCACTTTCAGAGTACTAGCTTTAGAGGAGGAATGACCCAAAAAGCTCTTGTTCGGGAACTGATGGATTCAAGAAATTGTTAGCTAAGCATATTCATAGTGTAGACAAGAGAATGTGAGCTGACCTAAAAGCCAAAGCACCCAGCTGGTGCCTCAGTGATTGGGGTAAACATAACCCTTTGTGCCCATGTGCTAAAAGCACTTGGAAAACTGCATGCTTTTGAAAGGTAGCCTAAACTTTTAAAATATAATCTGAAACTCAGATTTCTCACTAAATAATGTCACATAGCCTCTCAAGGGAAATATAACAAAAGTGTAGACAAAGAACCAGGTTTCAGAGTGGTACCAGGAAGCAAGGGGCAAGGACTGGCAAAAGGCAGAAAAGAAAAGGTAAAGGGCAGGTTTAGCAGTCCTGAAAACGCCATAAAAAAATTTTTTTAACAAGTCTTATTTAAGTATTAAATCCAAGACCAGCTATAACAGGCAGACCTGCCCATAATGAGCTTGCCCTGACTTAACCATTTTGCCCACATATAAATGCCTGAAATGCTAAAAAGCAAATCAGGGAAGCCACTTTCTGATAGGGCAATGTCTGGAGAGTACATGTAAACCCCTCCGGGTCAGATGCAGCAGCTCTGAGTGGGTTATGGCATGTGGGGAATAATGTGTCCCCTCGTGACAGCCTGGGATGCTGCACATACAGAGCTGGTTTTGCCTCAGTCTTCCCATTTGACACTTTAAAACATGGTCTACCAACAGATTTTTTAACACTAAGAGTCACCAAAAATGATAATATATTTATGATAAGATGTATTTCTGATAAAATCTTGCCAAGAATGCAAGTTGCTGGTTGAGAACTGTTACGTGATTTGTCAACAAAATGGGAGGAGTAATTGTAAGGCAATCCTATAATAAATAATTAGGTAAATTACATGTAATGATATTTTTATCAGCTTTAAATCACCTATTGCTACCACTAATAAAGGAGGAAAGCACTCAGTAAATTCTATTTCCCTTTCCTCTTCTAAACATGCATGAATGAATATAGGCTTTAAAATACACTGAAATCTTCTTTTGGTCCCTTGTAGCTTCAACCAGATTTTCTTTCCTTTTCTGATCATAAAAATTTCCTTTTCCAATCACGAAAATTTATCAGTTTGTGAAAGCATCTTGACAGACTCATGAATCACAGCTTTAGCAAAGCAGTGTTTGAGCTATCTCCAAATGTATTCATATTTTCTAAAAAATTTTTAATGAGAACGCAATTCCTAGGAGCAATGAAATGGATAATGAGAAAGCAGTGATGTTTTTGGCTGCAATTAGAGTCATGATTGAATACGTAAGCTTCTGTCAGAATTCGAAAATGAGCATTTCTTTTTCTAAATTTCCCTACACCAAGTTTTCCAAATCCACTGTGCAAGCGTAGACCATCCTTTTTCTGCAGAAACTCTCACCCTGACTCTCCTCAGCTCCAGGGTGTTTGGAAGCTTCCCTTAGCCACTGCCTCAGCCCCTATAAGAGTGCACTGGGAAGCTGTGTGTCATTCATGCCCTTAAACCGAACTGACTTTCCACCCTGCTAAGCTCCTTCTGTGATTGGGCTTGTAAGTCATTTCCCAGTGGATGACTGTGTGGCGGCCTGGACTATGGGGACAGAGTAGCCAGTGTGTAAAAAGAGAACAGATGCCCAGTGAGAGAATCCAGGCTCTTCAAACAGAGGCAACTTTGTCGCCTCAGCCAACACAGCTGTGATATGTGGCTTGTGCATGGCTCTTTGTGGCTATATGAATAGGAATGTTCAGGTTTATTTGGGGGAAAGGGGGGCAAGTATGGGTTGCTGGAGGGTCTGGATATTTGAAACAGGAGCTTTCAAAATAAGGTTTCAGTCACCCCCTAAGCAACATGAGTAGTTTGAAAACTTGGATTAATTTTCTTGTTGCTCTGACTTTTTTGATTAAAAAATAAGTAGAAAACTATCAACTCGGCTAAAAATGAAAGGACCTCATTCATTCAGAATTTTCTAACAAGTGCACTGTGGCTGGACCTTTACACAATTTTTAAAAACCATCTATTCAATAATAATATTTTAAGCCCTGACACTTGTTTTCTCACAAGGAACACAGGCAGGATTTACAAATCATTTAACTTTTCATTAAAGTTGGTCTCAAAAAATCTGCACCAACCATTATTGAGAATCATATGATATGCTTAAGTAATCAAAGAGCAATTCTTAAAACTGTTATCCAATTCAGACTTCCCAGGTGCTACCAATTTCTCAAGCCCATGCTGCCATATAACACACTTACCTGGGAGACCTGTAGCTCCGGGCAAGCCCTTAGGACCTCTTCCTGGAGGGCCACGTTCCCCCCTTTCTCCCAAGTCACCTGCATTTCATTAAAGAAATGTTATTTTTCTGTATGTTTATAAAAAGAAAGGTTGTAGTAAATATGTAGCAAGGAAAAACTTGAGTCAATTATATGAAGAGATCTAAGGGGAAAAAAACTCAGATAATCATATTCATCAAATGATAAACAAAATCAATCAAATAATCAACATTCACCAAAATAAAGAATCAATGGCTACCTCCTTAACATGATAAAATATAATATTTACCTCAACCCGAAAGTTAGCATAATGCTTATGAGACACACGAGAAGCAGTTCCATTACAGACAGACATTACAGAGATGCCCACTTTATCACTAGTATTTGTCATTTGGTTTGGCAGTCAAAAACATCCCTATTTTCAAGTGATATGATATGATATGAGTGTATGTCTTAAATCATTGAAAATCAACTCAAAGTCTACTACAAGCAATGACAGAATTCATTAAAGTAGCAAGATAGAAAATTAATATATGAAAATCAATAGTTTTCATATACACAATCATCCAAAATCAGATGTAGTGAAAAAATATCCCATTTATAATAGCAATTAAATTAATAACAAGAAATAAGTTTAATCAGAAATATGGAAATCCAACATTACAAAATTAACATTTCTAAAGGACACAAAAGGACTTGTTCTTAGATGGAATGACATCATCACAAAAAGGTGTGAGTTGTCCCTAAGTTGAAGTTTTATCATGATCCCAATTAAAAAGATTTTTTTAACCAGAAATGGGGATTCTAAAGTTTATACAGAAAAACACATAAGCCAGAGTAGCTACGAAAACTCCAAAAAGCTACCCAAAGGGAATTAATCCCACCATATATTAAACCAATTAAAATGGTGTAGTGCTGGAACATGGATAGACCAGTGAACCCACCCAAAAACAGGCTCCAATATATATAGGAATTTGTTCTGTAATAATGTGCCATCTTAAAGTGGGAAATAGTCAAACAAGTCAAAAAATGTTGTTGGAAAAAGTGGGAAGCCAGTTGGAGAAAAAAAAATAAAGTTGAACTTGTTCCTCACAACATAATCCAGGATAAATTACAAGTGAATCAAATATTTAAATGTATAAGAACCAGAAGAAAACAAGGGAGAATTGTTTTATAACTTCAGATTTGAGTTGGCCTTTCTGTTATGATTCAAAATACGAAAAGATCTTAAAATCAATATAAAAAGTTCAACAACAGTAAAAAAAAAGAATATGTAAGCAAGAAAGTCACTAAAAGGAAACAAATATAGCTCTGAAATATATGAAAAAATCCTTGATTTCACTTTCACATCAAAATACATGTCGAGAGCTGAGGCCGAACTCGGGATCTGACAAGATGGCCAGGCTGCCCCGCAGGATTATCAAGGAAACCCAGCGTTTGCTGGCAGAACCAGTTCCTGGCATTAAAGCAGAACCAGATGAGAGCAACGCCCGTTATTTTCATGTGGTCATTGCTGGACCCCAGGATTCCCCCTTTGAGGGAGGGACTTTTAAACTGGAACTATTCCTTCCAGAAGAATACCCGATGGCAGCCCCTAAAGTACGTTTCATGACCAAAATTTATCATCCTAATGTAGACAAGTTGGGAAGAATATGCTTAGATATTTTGAAAGATAAGTGGTCCCCAGCACTGCAGATCCGCACAGTTCTGCTATCGATCCAGGCTTTGTTAAGTGCTCCCAATCCAGATGATCCGTTAGCAAATGATGTAGCGGAGCAGTGGAAGACCAACGAAGCCCAAGCCATAGAAACAGCTAGAGCATGGACTAGGCTATATGCCATGAATAATATTTAAAATCGATCTGATCATCAAGTGTGCCTCACTTCTCCTGTTCTGCCAAGACTTCTTCCTTTTTTGTTTGCATTTAATGGACACAGTCTTAGAAACATTACAGAATAAAAGCCCAGACATCTTCAGTCCTTTGGTGATTAAATGCACATTAGCAAATCTATGTCTTGTCCTGATTCACTGTTGTAAAGCATGAGCAGAGGCTAGAAGTACCATCTGGATTGTTGTGAAACGTTAAAAGCAGTGGCCCCTCTCTGCTTTTATTCATTTCCCCCATCATGGTTTAAGTATAAAGCACTGTGAATGAAGGTAGTTGTCAGGGTTAGCTGCAGGGGTGTGGGTGTTTTTCTTTATTATTATTTTTGAGGGGGAGAGGTAGTTTTATTTTAATTTTATGGGCTCCTTCCCCCCCTTTTATGGTGATCTAATTGCATCGGTTAAAAGCAGCTAACCAGTTCTTTAGAATATGCTCTCTAGCCAAGTCTAACTTTATTTAGACGCTGTAGATGGACAAGCTTGATTATTTGAACCAAAATGGGAACATTAAACAAACATTACAGCCCTCACTAATAACATTGTGACTTTGCTGTCAAGTGTAGAATCCTTCCTTCAAGAAAAAGCTTGTGACCATTTTGTATGGCTTGTCTGGAAACTTCTGTAAATCTTATGTTTTAGTAAAATATTTTTTGTTATTCTAAAAAAAAATACATGGAAATTATGAATAACGTGAAAGCTACTTTGAACTATAAGATAGGCAAATATTCCAAAGTTTAATTAAACATATGCTAGCAAGTCTGTGGAAAAAGATATTATTATAAATTGCTAATAAAACTAAATTGGGACATTCTCTTGGAGGATAATTAAATAATATCTATCAAAATTACAAATGGTAGTACCATTTTACCTGGCAATTCCACTTCTAGGAGTTTATTGTAGAAAAACAGAGGTTATGTTGATATTTACACAAAAATGAAATATACAGTGTTGTTCACTGCAGCCTTGCCATATGGCAGAAGATTGGAAACAAAATGTCCATGAGAGGGTTAAATGTACTACAGTACTTCCATAGAATGGCATACTATGCAGCTATGAGGAAGAACCAGGAAATTCTTCAAAACATTCTCAAGGCATATTGCTAAGTGAAAAAAAACCAAGGTCCAGATCACTACTAAAGGGCAATACAACTTGTTTCTAAAGGGACATGGGGAATGTATGTAATTATATATTGTATATAATCACTGGTAAGGATATTTAGGTAACTAATAAAAGGGATTACCTAATGGGAAGGATAAAAGAATCTAGGCAGATGGGAGGCAGGAGTGGGGGAAAAACTCTTCACTAAATATCTTTTTGTGTATTTTTAAATTTTCAAACACTGTAAATTTAGTGTTACTGAAAATAAATTAATGAATTTTCAAGATTTAAAATGTGCTGTCACAAGTGCCTACATTTCACTTGTGATTCATTATTTACAGGGAATATGCTTTGGATTGCAACCAGCCATGTGTATTTGCAAGACAGTTGATTGAATTTGGGGATTCAGCAGCCACAGAACCAAGTTTCATTAATTATCCTGGCCCCTGCAGAGAAACCCAGAAACTTGGCCTCATTAACAAAGTGCCCTAATACCTAGTCAACTGGTCCTAAATGATGTTTACGGTTCCTAATAGAAGTCATTATTCTACTATCCCATTGGTATAGTATTATATTATTATCCTTCTACTCTTTTAGAAGATGTGGTGGCATTTTGCAACAAATTCTATACATAATCATTTTTCCAAACATTTGTATCAGCTCAACTTTATTCAATATTGAGTCATTTGTTATAATTTTTTAAAAAGCATACATGCCAAAATAGTAAAAAAAAAAAACACCTCTAATTATTAAGTGAATGTTTAAATAGCCACCATACTTTGATTTTAGCTGTGAATGCCTTTGTATGAATAATTTTATCATGAATCAACTCTATTTTAAAAACAATTTTAAATTTATATAAATACTGTGTAAGGATATAGAGCTCAAGTTGAACTCATATTCACATAAACTATTTTTTAACACTCATCAATATGGCCTTACTATATTAGGAAGATATGATAATTAGCATTTTAAAAACTAACAACTTAAACACTCTTGTTAACTTAGCAATTTAAATGTCATATCACTGTAATTCTGGAGGCTAGCAATGAAAAGAGAACCAATAAATGTGCCACATTTTCTGAAGATATGAGATGAAGATTATAAATTAAACAGTAACTTTCGTGCAGACAGTGAAAGTTAAACACATTCTAGCATGAAGCCACAGCAACTTTAAAATGTTGCTTGCAAGGAAGAAAATCTCATTGCTCCATAGTTGCCATTTATTTCATTTATTTGAAAGGTGTAACTGATACTCTGACCAAGCAGATTAATCCAAAAAAAGTGTTAGTCACAGTAATGATATGTGTATTTGCTCAAGCCTTCATTTACATATTGCATCTGTTTGACTTACACTAAAATATCTATATCTATATATATCTATATAAAATTAATTCAAACCATGAATATTTAAAAACAGTACTTATGACAAAGAAGACTAATACTAAGCAAAGTGAACATAAAGCCAATAAGATACCTGTTTCTGCTTGAGTATACATATAAAAATGTACATGTGGCATAGGTCTTGACCCTAACATGTTTTTATAATATTGCACAGAGTATGTCGATAAAAACAAAAAAATATATATAAATGATTTGAGTATGATTTCTGGCATATTTCTACTAGCTCCTACTGAAAATGTTTCACTGTGTTTTGCAGACTAATTTTTTAGGAAAAAATGATTTTTATTAAAGACATAGCTTGAACTGCTAAAAACTTTGGTGAAATTTATTTGTTCATTATTTATGTAGTAATTTCCTTGGAGAAAGACTCTCAAAGTAATATGGCGAGCAAGACTCAGACTGTCCCTTCTTTATTAGACATGGGAAAGAGGCAGCAGGTGACACTGAAATACATCTCTAACTAGCTGGACATTTAAGTTTCAAATACTGGAGTATTTGTTCTCAGGGAAATATTGATCTGTAACCTTTGGCTAATGGGATACTATATGTTTTCAATTAAATATCACTGTTATAATGTATGCAGTAGGACGAGAAAGGTCAAGTCCGGTTACCTGGAACCATACCTTTCCAAATTTGTGACAGCACTGATTGATAAAATCCCAGGATAGTACTCCTTTCTTCCCATACCCCAAATTTCAAGAAGTAAAACAGAGAAGATGCTGCTTTAAAGGAACCCAGTGATGATAAAGGGATGGAGGAAATTAGGGAGAAAAAGTCCTTTAGAAAAAAGAAAAAGACTATCTCTTTTGGATTATAGACTGTGTCATAAATGCTGAAGAAAAATTAGCGGGAGGTCCCTTATACAATAAAACTATGCTTGATGAATAAACTCTGTGCCAGAAGCATTTTCCAGGTTCCATATATATAAATACATTTTTCTTCCCTTCAAAATAAGGTTTATCTGCTGGAGCCAACTCACCCCAACTCAGTCACTATCCAATGCTGCTATTAGCTTCCCAGGAAGCTTCCTGAACATTTCACCCCTGTTTCCTGTGGTTCCCATCCCTGATTGTACATTAAAGTCACATGGGGAATGTTTTTAAATCCTGCTGCTCAGACCTATTAAGTCAAAATCTCTGGGAATGTGACCCAGTCGTGGACAGTTTTTAAAGCTCCCCAGGTGATTCCACAGTGCACCCTGGCCTGAGAAACACAGATTTAGGCAGACTCTACTAGCATAGCAAGCAGACACAGACATTCTTATTTCTTAGAAAATTAAGATCAGATTTCAGGTGCATTCTCTTACTAACTCAAAGTTGAGTTCTATCTCACATATGGAGACTTCCTTTAAGCCAAAGAAAATAGGGCTGTGATTTCTATAGTCCCTACAAGGTGTTTCCTTTCAGCAGGAAAATGGGAGACTCCTCTACACTGGGGCATTTAGCAATATCAGATTCATCTGGAGGCTTGTTAGACCACAGACTATTGGCCCCCCCTGCAGAGTCTCTGATCAGTGGGACAGGGGTGGGCTGGAAAATTTGTATTCCAAAAAGGGTCCCTGGTGGTACTGACGCTCCAGTGAGCACTCTCTCAGAACCACGGCTCTAAAAGGAACTTATAAGAAAGGCTGAGGAATCACTGTGGGCTCTGGTACAACAGAACCAGCTAAGTCAACAATCCACTTGAGGCACCAGAATTTCTTGGAAATTGTGAACAGAATGAATAGTGTCTAAGCACAAAGACAGTACCTACTCGTAAGTTCCTGAATCAGTAGCTAAAAGTAGGACAAAGATGAGTGGCTATGTGATTCTTTTAAAGAAACTACTCGGTTCTCTTTGAGATGAGCTCTGAGCTCTCTCCATATTTGATTTTATCCAGCCTCTGAAAGTTTGGAAATTGTGCCAGCCTTACAAGAGGCTCCAATTAGGGTTCATTTTTTCACATACAGCAATGCACATGCCAAAAAAAAATCAAATATAATTAACAAAATTGTTCCAGCTGAAACCATCGTTAGCCAAATACATCAGCAATTCATTTATAGATCCAAAAAGGCAGCTTGCTTGTCCTCTGACCCTTCACACCATAATATTTATCCCTAATTGGAGCACCACCATTAAAAAAAATCCTTTCTCTTGTTTCTGACGCCATATCTTTCTGAAGTTCCCTAGAAAGCGGTCAGTCACTCATGATGTAGAAATTCTTCATTTTGTTTAGCCTTCTCTGTAAATTATCCAGGACACACACCAGCCCCAGCTGACATACTTACCTCAATGAGCAAACACCATGTGAGGCAACCAGTCCTCCTGCAGGTCCTGCTTAATACCTAACACATGATACATTTTTTTTTTCAAAACACTGATTTTTAAGGACTCAACTTGCTTTAAATAAAAGGGGAAGAAGCAAACTTTCTCATATTCCCTCACATGGTAAAGAAGGAAGAAAGTTCGATAGCACTTCAGAGCCGGAAAAAAATCCATCAAAACCAAATATCCAATGTCACTTTTTAAAAGAAGAGGGAGGCAGCTTCAACTCATGATGTAATTTGTCTTATGACCTGCTAACAAATGCTGTTAATGGATACAAACAGTCTAAGGCTGGTTGCCACCTTCCAAGACCTCTACAATGATTTTAGACTCTAAAACAAAACAAAACAAAACAAAACAGCACTGAACGATCATTCTTTAAACTTTATAAGATCCTGTAAAGTTTATTTTGAACTATGACTGAGGCAGAGGGTAACTGAAAGAGATCAGTACTAAAAACCAAGGGACTTTAATTCTAGTTTTTGGTCTCCTATTGTCTACAACAAGTTAAAGAGGAGGTTGTATAATAGTTTCCTGATCTTTACCATCACCACTGAATGATACATCTCCTTATCTCACAGGATATCTGGAGCTTGGAAGGATGTATAGATACATCTGAAAAAGGACAGCGTGTGTTCTTTTATTCCACCTGGGCAAAATGCCTTACCTTTAGGCCCCCTCAAACCAAGAGCACCAGGGGGGCCTTTAATGCCTGGGAGGCCACGAAGTCCCATTTGGCCTGGGAAACCATTCTCTCCAGGAGGTCCTGGGGGACCAGGGGGCCCAGGCCTTCCAGGGAGTCCAGAGGCTCCTGAGTCCGGTCGCTTGAGACTAGCAGCCATCTCAGCAAGATGCTCTAAAAGATAATAAACAAAACAGCCCAGAGAAGTCAGAAACATGAAAGTAAATTCAAAGGAAAAAGGGGTATTTCAAGTGTCTCTTTTTCTATATGTGTCACCAGAGCTTCAAAATTGGTAGTGAGAAGTGAATAAAGTTGGATCATTTTTCCATGGACTTTCTGCCAAGAAGCTTCACTGGTGCTGTTCTATTCAGCTCTCCCTGGATATATTTGGTCCTGCTGTTCTGAGACAAGGGGAGGGGGGTTAAAAAAAAACATACACGGCAAGGCTTTCGGGTGAGCAGTGTTCTCAAAGGATGAGTGTGTCATCTGAGTCTCGGCTGGTTATCTGAAAACCCAGGACGGGAAGAAAATGAGTTTCTTAGGAAAGAAAGGTAAAAGTGGATGTCCAGAAGCTTTTTAAAAGCCAGGGACATTGTCCAGAATTAGTACTGAGAGAGCATTTGAGACCTAGCCCCACATCTTTAGTTTGAAGATACTGAGTGACCTAAAATATCCTGAGCATTCACGACTTCTTATAAATTCCCCTCTCAAAAGTTTTTTCATGCTTGGAATAGACAACAGACATTAAAAATAGCCTGCTTCGTGGGAATGTTCACAGTCTGTCTTAAAAATTAATAACTATGTGGGCTTTCTCAGAAACCATTAAATAGATTAAGAATCATCCACGAAACCATGAAAAGCAAGAAAACTTTCCTATAAAAATACTCTGTGGGAAATATGCCAGTGCAATATTTTTTAAAGGTGTGAAGGAGATTATGAATTGGAAACAAATTTCTAACCAACATTTTAAAATTGTTTAAATGTGAACATTCTTGTTTGCCTTATGTAAGTAAGAGTTAGCATAAAATTATGATTTTCTAGGGATGTAATGTTTAAAATTGAAATATCCTTTCAAGATTAAATGTCTGCAAGTAGAGACTTATATTGGTTTTCAAATATAGAAGTGACACTTCCATCCTGGAAAACTCTACAAGTGTACTAGACGAATCAGACTATCTTATGAGCATACAAAAGAAGAGTATTTATCGTGACAGAATTAGTTCCAACCAAATTATTTGTTAGAAGGACCCAATTTTGCAGGATCTCCCCAATTCCTGTCTCCCCAGTTTCTCCCTTTCCTATATGATAGTAGAACTAGACCAATTCTAAAACAGCTATGGCAAATAGCAAGTGCTATAGCCATAGATGTATTTAATTTTTTAAGATTTTATTTATTTATCCATGAGAGACACAGAGAGAGAGAGGGGGACAGAGAGACAGACAGAGGGAGAAGCCAGCTCCATGCAGGGAGCCCGATGTGGGACTCGATCCCAGAACTCCAGGATCACACCCCGAGCCGAAGGAAGACACTCAACCACTTAGCCACCCAGGCATCTCTCCATAGATGAATTTAGATAAAGGTTAGCAAATGTAAAAATATATCACCATTTGGGTAAAATACGAGTTACTGATTTTCTACATATGTGATACATTAGTAGAGATAATGTCCTTTATGCTTCTTATGGGCATGAAGACTGTCAATTACTTCACAGAGATAATTGTGAAGATTATCTCACAGAGAGAGCCAGAATCAGTACCAGGTACACACTAGGTGGAAGGATGTTAAGGAGGGGGAAAATACCTGAGAATCTGTGTTCCTAAGGGGGAAAAAGTGCACAGGTATGTGTGCTTTCTTGTAAATTAACCTCCTTGGCAAAAAAAAAAAAAAATACAGGTATGTATGCAAAAAAGCCACTGAGAACAAAAATAGACTAACCCAAAGGCACCTGGGTAATGCATTCAGTTAGGCATCTGACTCTTGGTTTTGCTCAAGTCATGATCTCAGGGTCCTGAGATCCAGCCCTGCATGAGACTCCATGCTCAATGGGAGTCTGCTTAAGATTTTCAAGATTTTCTCTCCCTTTCCCTCTGCCCTTCCCCTTGCTTGTGTGTGCATTCTCTCTCTCTCTCTCTCTTTCTCTCTCTCCCCCCTCTCTCTTTCTCAAATAAATAAATAAATCTTTTTTAAAAATAGGCTAACCTAGAAAGACAACATTTTTCTTTGAGGTAATATGCCATTCTGTGACAACAAATTAGGTAAAGCAATTAATATATTATTCAAAACCTCTCACTTTTATTTTTTTATCAAATATATTTTTCCACTCTGAGTTCTGGGCCTTCTTTTTTAAAGATTTTTAAAATTTATTTATTCATGAGAGACAGACACAGAGAGAGGCAGAGATATAGGCAGAAGGATAATAAGCAGGTTCCTGCAGGGAACTCAATGCAGAACTCGATTCCAGGACCCTGGGATCATAACCTGAGCCAAAGGCAGAGGCTCAACCCCTGAGCCACTAGGCATCCCCCAAATCTCCCACCTTTAAAGCACATGAAAAGTCAAGATATTATGATTTATTTACCTTGCATGACTCTCATGCAAACCTGCTTAATGTGCTGATCTGTTGGTGCTCTACCCTGAGACAGGAAAAAAAAAAAAAAAGACGGTTTATACACAGAACCATAAAGAAGACATTGTTAAATGGTAACCTGACAGACTCAGCAAGAGGCCAGGTGGCTGGATTTACAAGAGAACTCGCCCACACTGCTGAGGAGCTGCTGTCTGGGCTAGCCTGGCTCCCCACCCCTTCTGGTGCTGTGAGATAGTCTCCAAAGGGGAACCCCAGGGAATGCCCACTACTCACTGGAGGACCCTGGATGCCGGGCAGGCCAGTGGCACCCTGCTCTCCCTGCACACCTCGTGGTCCAGGCGGTCCTCTGGGTCCGTCCTCTCCAGGAAGCCCCCGACTTCCTTCAGGCCCCCTCAAGCCAGGCTCCCCAGGGTTACCCACCTAGAACAAAATGGCACATTATAAAACCAGGGGTATCCACAAGTAATGTGTCTGCTTAGTAAGACTTACATGAAATTTTGGGTTTGCCAAGAAATGTTTGTTCAGAGGTTACAAATTCTCAAGGTAAAGACACAGAATGCCACAGTGTCTGAGATTTCCAGTTCAAGTAAAGTCTTTCAAAACTTTTCTTTTTGGTACAGTTATTGTTTCAAAATGTTAATTGCAACAAGACATTTTTAAACTACATTCTTTATACTTTAAGCCACTTCCTAAGAACAAGTTAGTTTTTAATAAGACTTGATAACTTTCTCTGGCCACAAAAAAAGCCACTGAGTTCATACAAGACATGTTACTTTGTATCATCAATACAGAAACCCTAAAATAGTTTTATAACACTCTGGAGAATTTGAAGAAGCAGATGTAATGAGGAATTATAAAATACTAACATTAACTAAATACATTTAAAATGCTGCACTTAGGGCAGCCCGGGTGGCTCAGCGGTTTAGCGCCTGCCTTCAGCCCAGGGCGTGATCCTGGAAACCCGGGATCGAGTCCCATGTCTGGCTCCCGGCATGGAGCCTGCTTCTCCCTCTGCCTGCGTCTCTGCCTCTCTCTCTCTGTGTCTCTCATGAATAAATAAATAAAATCTTAAAAAAAAATGCTGCACTTATAATGAATACACTTAAAATACTGGAACAATGAGTGAGTCCATAATTTATCTAAGTCTTGCGGAAGTTAAAAATCTAAATAATACAGAAGTTAAAAAGTAAACCAACTATTTCCTTAGCACAAAAGCATATACTGGTTAGATTTCTGTTCTGAAAGCAGACCACTAAAAGCATTTTTAAAAGTCCCCATCCACAAGAACTGCTTTAAAATGAGATTAAATTAATTGACTTTCTGTTAAGCTACCGCTGGTAGAATTTATGGAATAGTAGTTACAATGTGCCATTGTTTATAGAATAAGAATGAGAAGATAAAAGGACAGGAGGCATTAAGAGAGTGCTAGTGCTCAAGATAATGTCTATAAGGCAACTTAATCCTGCTTCTTTCTCATATAAAACATTTTCTTAGAAAGAGTTAACTCCTTCAAACAGATATTTTAAGTTGAAGGAAAAAAGGTGATGAGGCAGGGTTTTCACTAGACACATTGGAATAAAGCTCAGCAAGTGTGCTTTTTCAAATCTCTCTTTATGCAAAAAACTGATACTCATCTAAGTCGTCAAAATAGTTTCTATGAAGAAATTATGGCTTAAAGGACTTGGCAAAATATGGCTGTCATCTTTTGTTGTTGGCTGTCAACAAGAGAGAGCTAAGGGTGTGCTGTGGAGGGTTTGGACTTGTCAGATGACTACAGTGTAAAACTGTAACAACTATTAAAACAACCCAGAGAAGCCAAAATGAATTTGCAAATGCACTAAAGAACTGGAAGAAAACAAAGGAGACTAAATCAGTCTATCATCTTGTTGACAATGTTTGAAATACTGCTAGAAAACGGGATGGGGCATTTTTGATGAAGAGATCAAGGACCAACATGGCCAGGACATCTCAAGGACTGCAGGTCTTTGGAAAGAATTTCTCAATTGAGTGGTATACTGAAGTAGAAACTGGGGTACAGACTTCACCTACTATCAGATTTGTCCCTACTGAGATTACTGAGCAAGGTGAACATGTGTCTGCTAGTAACCATTTCCCATGACTTCGGGACAACACACTTCAGCTGCATCAGAATTACATGGGTAGTGTCAGAGAAGAAAGAGGTAGGGAGGGACGTGATAAATCAAGAGTTAATTCCTAGTAATATACCCAAATTTAAATGAACTTAACTCGTTTTGATCACTGCATTGTTCATTCACTTTTTCCTCTTACAGCTTGAATTCCTACCATTGAACATCACTGATTATTTCTAGATAGTGACATTGGATTTCTATTACCACATCCTATCAAGGTTTACTCTTTATATTTCTTCTCAATCCTAAACCCTTTCTGTCAAAGATTCTTAGGTGTAAAGATGTTACTTGAAGCCCGGGACTGTCAATGGTGTTTCGAGGTAATTTGTAAACGGGTGAGTTAATACAGTATAATAGTTTCCATCTCAGGGATATGTAAAGAGCCCAGGGTAGGCACTGCAACCAAGTCTGGGATGCGGCATCCTCTGGGAGAGAGTTGAGCTGAGGATCCGGGCTAAATGCCTAGGCAGGAGACAGCTATTCTAAGGAAAGAGGAAGAGTGTTCCAGGCTAGGAGAAAACACAAGGCATTAAACAGCATGCCAAGTAAAAACAACTGCAAACAGATGAAGGTAGAGATGAAGTTGGCAAGGCAGAGACCACTTCATCAAAGACTTTGTATATTTTAGTAAAAGTCAGATTTTATTCTATCAAATGTTATTTCTGAAGGGCTTATGCAGAGGAGGGATAAATAATGGGCTTTATCTTTTTTCTAGATGACACTGGCTGCTATGAGAATAACATTGTACAGGGGCAGAGAGGGTGGAAAAGATTCCAGAAATAGGAACTGAGAGATGAACTGGGAGCCAGTGGTAGCGGTATTTGTGGTTAAGGTCTGAGCTTCATCTTTTCTCCTTATACTTTCTTAAATTTCTTGTTGTATTAAACATGCATTCCTTTTAAATTAGTGAATCATCCCAGGTTTGCTAGTTCTCTAGCTGGTTCTATACTTGGTTCTATTAAATTCATTCTAGCAATTGGTCCTACTATTGGTTCTATAATTCTGAATACATCTAATCTCTGTGGACATCAGTTTAGTGTCTATACAATGATGAATTAAATGAGATTATCATTTTCTAGCTTTAATAATTGTCTATTATATTTTCTTATGCATTATGACTTTGTTGCTTCCCCAACTAGAACACACGGGAGGTTAATAAAATTACTGAAATATTTTCAATGGTATGACTGCCACTGAAATTCATTTATACTCCTGTCACCACAAAGGGAAAGTCAGTTCTTTTAAAATTTGTGAAAGAAATTGCCGTGTATAGTCATTGAGACACTTGTGATAAAAACTTCATTTAGAGTGGATTAATTCAAAAGGCAGATCCATTTACACTATTGTGAGTTGTTTGGGGTTTTTTTCCCCTTTGGATGAATCTATTACTTAAATAATAAATTTAGACATTAATTTCCTTGAAGGTTAGTCCTTTAAGAATTGAATTTTATAGAGTGATTGCATAAAGAAGAACCTTGCATTTTCTATAGCTTTATTGATACTTTTATTTTTTATACCATTATTGTCCATTGTACTTACAGATCCCTTTGGTCCAGGTAATCCTATCTCTCCCTAAATCAATAAAACAAAATTATATTAGAACAATGCATTCACATTTGATGGTTTACTAAAAATATTTAAAAGATTATTGTGCTGCTGAAATTTATAGAAAACCATACAAAGATGAACTCTGGCACTGCAGAAAATCATGAGATTCAAAATTTGGATTCTAGTCCCAGTTCACTTAACTTTGTGAGCTTTGTAACCTTCTAGCCTTTGGCTAACTTATCTGTTAAATAACGGGCTTGAATCAGAGCTCTACAAGCCTCCAACCAGATCTAAAATGCTAGGTATTGAGAATTAAAATGCATTAGCCAAAAGATATTAAACTAGTATGCTGTTTTAAAACACAGTAGGTATTTAAATCTAATGTCTGGGCAGCCTGGGAGGCTTAAAGGTGTAGCGCCGCCTTCAGCCCTGGGCGTGATCCTGAAGACCCAGAATCGAGTCCCACATCAGGCTCCCTGCATGAAGCCTGCTTCTCTCTCTGCCTGTGTCTCTGCCTCTCTCTCTCTCTCTCTCTCTGTGTGTGTGTCTCTCATGAATAAATAAATAAAATCTTAAAAAAAAAACCAGACTGACTTTCTCACAGCCTGTGTTTATAAAATGAAATAAAATAAACCTAATGACTTCATTTTTGAACCTCTAATAGTATTTTAACTCATCCCCAAACGTCTATCAAATCAAATATGCATGATTTTATGCTTAAGAAAGAAAATTAAGAGAGGAAATCTCTCACTCCTAATTCTAGATATGAATTCAGCTCAATCAGTTCATCTCTACTACAAACAATGATCTAAAACATCCTCTTAGCCCATAAAATGAAAATTTTTAACAGAAAATAAAATAATCTTTTTTCAAATTTACTTGGTAAAGAGCTTTGCCTAATTCAGATGTTACATTTATATTAGCTCTAAATCCTGAAAATAAAGCAACATTAGTAGAATTTTTTCCTGCCCTAAGTGCTCTCTGGGACTGTTTTATGAGAACTGGCACCATGCCAAAGGACCAAACTTAAGTTTACACATTAGGTCATGTTAGGTTGTGTCAAAATCATAAAGATGAGCCAGCAGATCTAACAGTTCTGGCAGTAAAGATAATTTTTTCTCATTCTTCCTTCCTTCCGGGATATTTAGCAGTAGCATCCTCTGGAGACAGAGGTCACTTCTTTGGCAGCTTTTAGACCATGGAAAATACCCACAGTCAAACTTGTGAGCCACAGCTTTCTAACAATAATAAAATTAATTTTGTTTCCACAACAGGCACTATTTATAGACTTTCTATAGTCATATAAGAATCACTTTGAATGTCTAGCTGTAAAGCCACAAGAAAGTCACCATCCATAAGAGAACACCTTGTTCTCCAAAGCCTTAAAGCCACGTCTATCAATTTTGGGGTGATTACCCTCTGCTTTACTTGAACTTGGCTGCACTTCTGGGGAGTCATTAATTGGTTTACATAAGAAACACCATAGCCACTGAAGAAGTCAGCAAGGGTAGCAGTATCAAAGAAAAGAAAAATTACATTTCTGATTAATTAGAAATCAGTACAGCTCATCATTAACCAGAACCAAATGTCTTACAAGTTCACCCCTTTCTCCTGCTTCACCTTCTTCACCAGAGGAACCCTAAAAATTAAGATTAAAAGTCACATTTTTTAATTCTTAGTTCCTTGCCTCAGTTTTAACCAGTCAACATTGATAAGCATTACTAAGTGCCCACAGCGCCCCCCAGATCATGCAGAAATTCGAAATGCTCTCAATCGCTTTTCAATCTAGCTGTCAGTGCTTAGTCCAAATCAGAAAAGAGCCTAGAGAAAAGACAGAAGGTAAGGTTAAGTTTTTTCTAAATTTAAGGATTAATGCTTGTATCCAGCAATTTTGTGTAATTAACTAATCCCTGAAGAAAGGCTTTAACTGTAGAAAGAGGAACCCAGAGAAAGGACTGACTCTAATTCATATTCATAGTTTATTTGTTAAGGTCTTAATACAGAAAACCTCAAAATATGATGATGTGGCTACAGAAGGCTCCATCAGTCCCAGGTCAACCAATCTGGTGAATGAGGGCCAGGGACACTCTTTTCCATGTGTAGTCTTGGAGGCAGAGCCATCATCAGCTCCAGCATATTAAAATAGTAGGTAAGGTTATAGACCAAACTAAACTCTAGATTTCACTCACTATGAAGCACGTTGAGAAACACTGCTAGCCTCATCTTTTAACTAGAACCCATAAACCGGCTGGTAAGTACCCCTGCTGCTGAGGCACATTCATGCACAACACTGACTGCATCCCATACTCTTCTCATAGGACCTACCCGTTCACCTTTTGGACCAGGTTCACCAACTACTCCCTGTAATGAATAAAACATAACACTTTTTCAGTATTTTGACATTTTCAACTATATAATTTCAAATGAACCAACTTCCCTTATCAAGCTGGTAGATAAGAGCAATTATGAATAATGCAACAGATTAGGACTTGCTCTTGTCCTCACAACAACCACAGGGCTCCATGCTGGGCACGGAATCTATTTAAAAAACAAAAAAAAATCAGGATAACCTAACAACAGTCAGGTAAGACCTGGAGAAACTGACCATTGTCCAAAAGCTGGCAACATGGGTATTCTCTGATTATGTCTACATAAAATTTGGTAGGGATGTAAATTTAAAACTAAACAGGAAGTATGATTACAACTGAAGTTTTTACTTTTCTCAACTTTTAATTTTTCCTTCTAACAAATTACTATATTAGATTTTTTTGCTTCTTAATCTCAACTCTCAGTAATTTAGACACCTTTCTTGATAGCTGTCTATGAGAATTGCTATAAAAATCTCCACCATGCCAAAAGCAACCTTGGTTTCTCCGTATACTAAAAATCATCCTTCTCAATAAGAACCTTTTGGGGGGCTAGATATCTTACCCTGTCACCTTTCATTCCAGGAAGTCCAGGGGGGCCAGGCAAGCCAGGGAGGCCAGGACTACCAAGAGAACCCTGAAAGACAAACACAGTGTCTCCAGAATCACTGCAACACTGCAGGCACACAAGGCAGAAAAAAACGTTGGGTGTGTTGACTCCTGTCTAAAATAAATGCACTGTGGTTGGTTTAACTCTGCTCCTCAAATCTCCCTGTCTCTCACACTCTCAGGAAAAAATAGGCCAGTCCCTCCACCCCTCTGTCCCATCTCTGAGGTTCTCAATTCCTGGGCTTGCAGTCCTTCTCAACAGTGGGCTCTTTCAGTGGAGTCCCTGCAATGGGACTTCTCTCACTGTGTAAACAAGCACTGCTCAAGAAGTAAAAGGCAGCATTCACGCATACTTCTCCTCAATTCCAAGAACAACCAAAGGCCAAATGTACCACTTCATGTCTCTCCTGATTTCAAAATGTATGCTACAAACCACACTGATTAAAATACCCTCTGAGAGTATCCTAGATATAATTTGAAATATTACATTTACATTTTCACACATTCACATAATAAGAGAAATCAAGTAAAGATGATTAGATCACCCTTTATACATTGTTCTTTTCTCCTTCCTTATTTTTAAAAATTGGTTGTGTTTTTTATAAAGCAAATAAACCTCTGGAGACTAGAAATATTACTTACCAGTTTACCTGGTAGTCCTGGGGGTCCCACTGGTCCTACTTCCCCTCTATTGCCCTGGAAAAACACAAATATGCCTGTCAACTGGATAGTTTGCCAAAACTCAAATGCTTAATTACTATATCAGTAAAATAACACTCTACTTAGGTTTTTGTTTAAGTACACAAGTCATTAAAGTATTTTCCCTATCTTCTCCTGAAGGCAGAGATCTTTACACAAAATGCCTATAGCCTCCCCAGTGTTTATCCTTTGATGAACGTGTTAATGCTGTTCCTTGTGATTATAGCCCATTGGACAAAAATGATGTCTGCTAAATTATGTGAAGTCACAGTAATTTTCAGCATCTAAATCATGATATAACTTATATTATGGTTATCTGAATACATGTTTTATCTTTTCATTTAGATTTTGTTCTTGAGGTATAGGTATATCAATTTGGAATTCCACCTAATGCCTAAAACAGAGAGTAAGTTTCAGGTCTACAGGATATTTTAAAGCAGCATCTGGCAAATAATCTTGAACTGCAAAAGAGTGGGGAAAAAAGAAAAACAAGACAGAGATGTTTGCCTTTAAATTACTAATGCAACTTCAAAAAGAGATAATAGAAATTTACAAAGTTTCTGACATACAAAATTCTTTGTTCTACTCATTCTTGTTCTAAACATGTCTTAAGAGATTAAATAAACTTTGAAAGTACAGTTTATAATGAAAATACACCAAAAGCAATATATCATTTTGCGAGCCAATTTCAATTCTTTATTTGAAACTCGAAGCCCTTTGAGAAAAGGAGACACATGAATTCTTCAATTTCTTTCCCCAAGAACCTCATACAGTTTTATGCAGTCTGACAAAAGCTTGTTTTATTTCTAACACATATTCAACTAAACTTAACATGAGGTTATTGGATAAATAATCACATTTCCTGGATGGTGTTTATAAAAAGGAAAGTAGTCTTTGGAGTTCATTTTACTTTAAAATGATATGACAACTTCACATTATTTCTTGTTATTTATAAATGCTTCTGCTAAGACTATCCTGATCTGGCCCATATGCTATTCATTTGTCTCTAAGTTGAACCAAGTGTCAAAATCCATAATCCTTCTGAACTTTCAGTTTCTTTACAGGATAAAAAAATGTCTGCCAAATTACAAGTCTCTAGTTTGAGCTATAATTAAGTGGTAGTTGTTTCAAATGACTTAGAGGTGATTTAAATGAAATGCTCTTAAATACTTTCCAAAATTTTTATATATAAGCAACCTGTCTAGTATGTAAGTTTGAATGATACAATACACTGGCGCTTAACCCTTGTGAGCAGCTTCGAAGCCTAAGGCAGTGTTCTATGAGGATGGGCACTTGAAAGATGTAAGACTAGATGATAACCAGCCACTGTGATAGATTCTTCTATCCATAAACATTGGGTTTTGCCCCACTAAGTTAGCCCACCATTTGAAAGTTCAAAACAGATTTTCTTCAGCATATCTGCTCTGTTGGCATTTTCAAGTAATTTCTGAACTGCATCATAATTAAGATCCTAAAGGTATTGGGTTAATATGACTTTAATTCAAAGAGAAATTAATAGTCATTGGAAGGGAAACTAACTAACCCTCTCTCAGTGATTCCCAACTGTGGCTGTGCATCAAAATGCTCCAGAGTGTTTTGGAAATATATTTCACTAGATGTCTTCCACCACTCCATCTCCCTGTTCCTCCTTCTAGCTTCCCTTCTCTCCCCTAGATTCTTATTCTGTGGTTCTGAGGTCAAACTCAGGAATCTGTTTGGGTTTATGTTGTGTTCATTTGTCTTCACCAGCTTTACTTAGGCTTTTGTTAACTTCTCATTACTATGTTGACTCCATAAACATAAAAATTTAAAATTTGCTAAATATATCTTGTACCATTAGAATTGGGCAAGCTAACTTTAAATAAAAACCATGCTGAAGAGCCTTGACTTGAACTGTCGAGGCATGGGTGGGTGGAGATGAGGCCACAGGCACTGAGCCCCACTGCCAGGTCTGAAGCCTGGCCCCACCATTCATCAGCCAACTCCAGCCCCTCAAATTCACCTCTGTGCCTCAGTTTCCTCACCTGTAAAGTGGGGATAAAAACAGTTCCTATCTCATAGGTTTTTTGAGAGGATGTAATAGATATATAAAGCACTTAGAACAGTGTCTGAAGCATAGTAAACACTATGAAAACATTAGTTATTATTTTTATCCAAGGTTTTACCCAAGAACTATAGAAATCAGTCAAAATTGTTTTTTTAATCAAATGTTTAATGAAATGTTCTTTACCTTTCAAAGCTCCCAAGTTTCTTTAAAAGCACAAGTTGCTCTTGGCAAAACAAAAACAAACAAACAAAAAAGTCTCTAGTCCTCATTTCTCCAGTTTCTGTCAAGACCCCTGATCACCAAGAAGCAATCTTCTTCTTCTTCTTCTTTTTTTTTTTTTTTAAGAGAGGGAGCGGGCAGGGGCAGAGGGAGAGAAAGAATCCCAAGCAGGCTCCACCCCCAGTGCAGAGCCTTATGAAGGGCTCAATCTCACAACCCTGAAATCAAAACCTAAGGGGAAGTCAAAAGTCAGTTGCTTAACCGACTGAGCCACGCAGGCACCCCAAGAAGGCACCTTCTTTATAAACAAATACTAGGAGCTATTTTGTAAAACCCATTTCAATAAATACAAATAATATCATTTGGAAGTCTCCTTTTCAAAGTGGAATTACTAGACTTTTAAAATATCACAGAAAAAAATCTATTTCATTATACTTGTGTTGTCATAAGTATTTCACAAAAAAAGAAATTCAGATTTTATTCCATTGTGCTCTAGGTTGTGATGGTGGTTGTATTTGCCTGATTACCCAAAATGCTAACTAGCTGAAGAATGAACATTATTCTTAGTACCATGCTAATTTTAGAAGTGAGAAATTATAAATCATTATACTTAGTCTGAATTTTATACTTAAGTGCCTCTCTCTGGGAAAAAGGATGCTGATTAACCCAAAAGATCAATTATGATTTCTACAGATTGTTGCTTTTACAAACATATCTTCATATTAACATCGGAAGATCATATTAGTCCTACTACAATAATTTTTAGAATTTTTAGGCTTGCCACAAAGATATTTTAAAAATCTATTTCATTTTACAGAATTGTAGAGTTTGTATTTTTCTCTGATGTAGGTTTAAATATTCTCTCACACACAGAGGCAGATCAAAATCTATAACCATCACAGCTGCTTCACAAATTATTGACAGGGATAATATTCCATGGCCTGGGTGGCACAGGAATGCAGTTTGAATCATTCAACAACACACCATATGGGGACCTCTGTACTCAGAACTGTTGGCAGTAGGGTGAGGATGGGACTTCAAGAGAAAATGAGGGAGGATTCTGTACTCCAAGAGTATATAATCTTCAGAAAACTGGAAGTAGATCAGCATGGCACTCATCCCAATCAGAAACATGATAGCAGAGCAAACACAACTCACTCAGCAAAACCCTGGCAAGTTCTGGGAAGCCTAAAAGAGGGAAATGGACCAGGTGCCACTGTATCCAAGGCCCCAGCCATTCTCCTGCTGAGGAGTCACTCAGATCCAGGTATAAACCAGTAGAGTGTGACTGAGAAAACCAGAAGCACGATCCAAGTGGTAAAGATATGTGCTCACATGTAATCACTGGAGGTGACAAAAAAAAAAAAAAAAAAACTCCAATATGTTTTGCTGTGGCACTGGCCAAAGGTGTTAGAACAATGGTTTGAAAAGGAAAAACCACTTAATTTCAAAGACATGCTCCAATTAGCCCTGGTCCATTAGTAGAACACAATAGAAATAGGTTTTTGCTTCTTCTACTCAGCTTTTCAACTTGACATTTGCAGGAAAAACTGATAAAACTTGTAAGGAATAGTTGAAAATGTGTGAATTTATCTATGAAACTAAATTTAATGATGTAAAATGAAAGAATAAATGCATTTTTCAGTGAGTAGATTTGGTGTTAAAACTCTGCTCCAGAACCATAATACTTATAACCTCTAATGACACTTTTCTGTAAAATTTATAGTAGGTGAGAAGTCAATTATTACTAACATAAGCAGTATAGCAAGATTTATTATACCTCCAATTCAATTCATTTTAAGAAATATTTATTGAGCACCACCTTGGAACAGGCCCTAAATGAAGATATGTAGGGAAGACAACAGTGGTCAGAGGTGTCCCTGCTTCCCTGAAGATTCCACAGCATGGAGCAAAAAAGAGGCCAGGGTTACAGGGTTTCAGAATAAAGAGGGAACACATCTACTTGGTGGATAGGGCATAACCAGAGATGGTTTCACTGTCGAATTAACATTTCAATTACATCTAAGAAAGTATATGGGATGTTGAGTCAGAGAACGCCACTTAAGGGCAGTACCACAGGAGAATACAAGCAGGCTGAGAAGCACAGAGACGTTGGAGATTAGCATGGAGTCCAGTTTGACTTGAGCACAGGCTCTGAGCCAGGCAGAAGTGATACATAAGACTAGGGGATAAACAGACGGTTTAAGATTTGGTACTTTCTTTTATTGCCAGTGGAAATCCCTTGAAGATTTTTAAATAAAGAAGAGAAGTGATGATAGAAGCTGTACTTTGAAAAGACCAATATGGCAATGTGTGAAGACTGAGATTGCTGCCATTCCCCAGGCCTTTGAAATTCTGTTTGAAACTTATTTGTCACCTTGATCATGGGAACCCTCCTGGAGTTCTAGGGTAGAGTCCTGGGGAATGAAGAACCAGGGAAAGGAAAGATCAGCTGGGAAGGCAAATCAAGAGACACCTGATAATCCAAGCAGCAGCTGATGATCTGAGCCAGGATGGTGGAGGTGGGCTTAGAAAAAAAGAGTCAAATATAAGAGACCTGAAAAAGGAGGTAGTTGAATCAGTCAGGTCATGTTGGAGATCAAAAACATGATGGAAGAAGAACACCAAGGCTTTGAGCCACAGTGATGGGAGCAATGAGGATCTGGACATTTATAGAAACTCAAAAAAACTAAAACCTGAATCAGGCTCAAAGCTTACATAGGCATAATAGAACTGCCTCCTCTCACCTGAGAGAACTTAACACCCCCCATCCCATTTCCTCCTGCAGTTCTACTTCTCATTCTTTATACATCCTATGCACTTAACCAATGATGGGCCAAGCTATCTCTACTGAGTCACTTTTTATGTTCAGTGCATGGTCCTAACATACAGCAGGTGTCCCTTCAATTTTATTGCTCTCTGCTCTTTATAAAGTGAATCTCAGACTTAATAGCCCCTCTCCCACACTGTTGAATCTTTCTGGACCAGTCATGTAGCATCTTCATTTTTATAGGAATATGATCTAGCTATAAACTCATTGCCTTGGCAATTTTTTAGAAGTATTTTAATTAAAAATTCACAGGCTTCAAGCAAGATAGAAGAAAAGGAGAAGTGAGCTCTAAGTGAGCAAGGAGGATTATGAGGAGAAGTAGCTAGTTTCTTTGGCTGCAGAGAAACTTCTGGAAACCACCTGATAGAGGTCAGTTGACAAAACACCTGTGAGAAGTGTCTCATGTCAAGACGTCTGGAATATTTCACTCCCTTAAAACATGAAAATCATTATTCATCAAGCTCATGAAATGCTTTAAATGAAATAACAACAATATTTGGAAATGCTGCTGTATTCTCTCTTAGGAGTTCTTTTTGTTACCCAGCAGATTTTGAAAATAAGAACTTAAAATGAAGGCCAGAGAGAATTTTTTAAAGTTAACATTAAATACATAATGTTTCATTTCCTAATCAGTTTCTCTCCAAAGGTTAAAGTGTATCTAGTGAAAAAATAAACATTGCTCTATGGGCTGCAAAACAGACACATTTACAAACTCATACTAAAAGAAGTCTGGCAGTTTCTCAAAAGATTAACCTTAGTTACCATGGGACCCAGAAATTCCACTCCTAGGTATTCTACTCAAGAGAAATAAAAACATGTGTCCAAACAAAAATTTGTAGAAAAATGTTCACAGCAGCATTATTCATAATAGTCAAAAAGTGGAAACAACTCAAATGTCCATCAGTGGATGAAAGAATGAAGGAAATGTGACATATCCATACAACTGAACATTAGTTAGCAATAAAAGAGAATGAAGAACTGATACATGCTACAGCACAGGTAAGCCTTGAAGCATGCTAAAGGAAGCCAATCACTGAAAAACTCACCTACTGTATGATTCCATTTATAAGAAATTTTTAGAACAGGTAAATCTACATGGACAGAAAGTGGTTAGTGGTTGACTAGGGCTGAGAGAATTGGGGAGAAATGTTGAGTGACTGCAAGTGGACACAGTTTCTTTTTTGAAAGATGAAAATGTTTTAAAATTTACTATGGTAATGGTTGCATAATTCCATAAATATGCTAAAAATCATTGAATCATATACTTTAAATGGTTACATTATATAGTATATGAATTATATCTCAGTAAAGGTGTTTTTTAACCACATTAAAATATTTCTTTCAATATGAGATGAGAGCCAAAAAGGGTCATCTTGCTTTTTAAAAATATTTTTAAATTTTTTTAAGTTTTATTTCCACCTTCTGAATTTAAAAAAGCAGATTGTATATATGAATAGCATTCCCATTTCACTGTCTCTCTTAACTAACACATACTGAAACTTCAGGAAGCATACATGGATAAATGAATAAATGATTAGAAGGACGCCCAGCAAAACCCTGAGAAGGCACTTAGGAAGGTTCTACAGAAAAGGAGTACTCACAGGAAGCCCCCGAGGTCCTCGAGGTCCCACTTCTCCTGGAGGCCCCTGTTGACCCTGTTATGAGAAAGGCGGGGAAAGAAAAAGTTAAAACTCCTTAATTTTTTGCTTAGTGATAACAACAGGTGATAACATAAGGAAAGGTAACCCATGTCATCTTACCGGTTTGCCTGAATTCCCCAGTTGACCAGGCTTCCCTGGAGCACCTGTGTTACCCTAAAAGTAAAATGCAACATTCAAAGTAATGCAGCATTTAATTATGCAAGTAAACATAATCATCACCCTGTCTTACCCAGACTGGGCATTTCTTACACCTAAATAGCATTATTTTCCCAATTTCACACTGAGAATTTGGGAGAGTATAGAATCTCCTTCTTGGTGGATACATTAAAGTTCTTCAGATTCAGAATACTGTTCTATTATTCCCAGAAGTATGATAAAGGTATCAAAAAATGTTCAAAAATGAAGGTCTTTACCCAGACAAGAATATACTATGAAGATTTTTCTTTCTCCACAATATTAATCCTATATGTCTTTCCTTTACTATTTCTATCTCCAACAAACTTCTTTGAGCCCTTTAACCTCACAATGACACTACTAAAATGAAAAAGAATCCTGTTAACATGTGGAATAAGATGTGCTGTTGAGAGGACCCTGCCAGCAAGCTCCAAGGAAAGCACACGTCTCGGGGTGCCAGCTCCACCGTCAATCTCTCATAATCCACTTATCCACTTATGAGGGACTATCTCTGCTAAAGACACTGTGGACCTCGGTAATTGGAGAGCTGTAGCCATATAACCTTGTAGTGACCAAATTCTATGTTATTCAAATTTTATATATTTTATTTAAAGTAAAGCTATATCTTATCCCTTTAGTTTTTCTTTCACCTGTTGTTTTTAAACGCTGTGATACAAGCGCTGGTTGATCAGACTGAGAACAAAATGTCTAATATCTTTTTAGTTTAAGCAAAATCATGTTAGTAATATTCACTGACATAATTTCTATAGCTTAATTTCCTTATTTTAACTGGCAAAGAGCAGTAATACTTTCTGTTTTATACTGGCAAAGGATGACACTTCAGGAAGGAAGTCTAATCAGCGACACTTTGTCAAAGTATTCTTTCTGCAGCTAGGAAAGAGGTTAGCATTTGAAGCCTTAAAGCCTTTCTTATTTCTCTTTAGGATAAAATAAAATAAGCAGCTTGGAACTACTAAAAATGATAAATAGAACATATTAATGAAAACATAAAGAAATAGAGACAAGTTTTAATTAAAAAGTTTTCATCTCTTACCTTTTCACCAGCAACACCCTTTGCACCAGGAATTCCAGGTACACCCTAAAAGAGGGCACACAGGACATGGGTTGAATCACCTCATCTGAGAATCTGGGAGATGCCATGCCCACTGCCCACTGCCGAGGGGCTGTCGGAGTCATGATGACACCAAAGCTTTAGTGTGAGGGAGATTCTTCCTACTTTCCAAATTCTGAATGGTTATAGAACTACCCACAGTTTAGAAGGCATTACTTTACTCTATCTAGCTTGTTAGCTATGAACACCCTCAGGCAAATCCTACCTCTACACCAAAGTTATTTTTCAAGCATGAGCTTCCAAATTATAATCCAGTCAGTGGGAGCTCCTAGCAGTATGACTCCTTGAACAGAATAACAAAACAGGGCCTATTGAAACGCTAACCCTTAAGTAGAAAAACAGTAAGGCAGGAGAATGCTGGCTTTAACTAAAACTTGGTACTCTTGGGAGTCCTAATGTTCTCTGATTATTTTAAATTGTCAGATATCATAATAAATTAAAGCCAGTCCTCAAATTACCAAGTATAACCTTGAAACATGTGTCTCCAAGAATACATCTGTATAATCCACGTTAACCCCTAGCCACAGTAATGCAGGGAGACACCAATGTGAATAATTTAAAACAGCACACAATCAAAACAATGGTATCTTATACCTCACATTGTTCCATGAGCATACTCTCAACCCTCTTATGGCTCAACTTTGCTAACTAGAGCTTCAGAACTGGTTAAAAGGAGGAATGAGTACGTGATCCTGGCCCACAGCTCAGGGTTAGTAAAAAGATAAGAAATATTGAATGAACTAAAGAGACAAGAGGAACGCAGAATACAAAATTGAAGCTTAGTATGGTTATTAGAGAAATAGTTCATTATTCAGGAAAAAATACAAAATGTAAAAATGTAAAATTAAAGCATCATATATCTTCCCCAGAACTTATCAATTTATTTGTTTCTCCCTAAAATTCATGTTTTCCAAATAGGTAGCTAAACCAATAAATATTTAAAGACCCAAATACTCACAGGTAAGCCCTGCAATCCCGCATCACCAGGAGGCCCAGGCTTCCCTGGTTCACCCTGAAAAAGAAGTTTTTATTTCATCATGAACCTGTGTGAAAAGAAAGGACACAGAGCTTCTGGATAGAAGGATTATCCCTACAAAAGACCTTACATGCACTTTTATAATATAATCCTGCTCAAGGCAAGGGAAGAGGGAGGATGGATTTAGGACATAAATTTAATCAAAATACACAATCTCTTTCAGCTACTTTCATTGACAGGGCAATTCTACTGAGTTCCTAAAACCAAGTAAACAAACATACTATTCTAATAGTATTTTGAGTTGACACTTGATGAAAAAACTAAAAGGAGGAAAAAAGCCAAACCCAGCTAAGTAAATCTCCCAGTAATATAGAAATGGAAATGCTGTTGGCCAGGGCTACACAGCTACCTTTGTTCCAGGCATTCCAGGTATCCCTTCACGGCCATCCACACCTGGCAAGCCCTAAAGACAAACAAAGAAACACACTGTCTCTTAGAAACATTCACATTCTTCTTCCCTTAATTATTTTCTAAAGTTTTGTTACCAGTTAATAATCACTTTGAAAAATGTGGTTGATGATTATGGCTAAGGATATACCGTGTCTCCTTTGGTCCCAGGGAGGCCAGGAATTCCTCTAGAACCTTGAGGCCCCTGCAAAGCAGAAGGGAAAAGATAGTCAAGATATGCCCATTTATCACAACACTTAGGACACATCAAAGAGATAAGCATAATCAGCAGAGGACACCAAAAAGTTTGTAGTAACACTAATTTGAACTCACTCTATCTCCCTTGGGACCTATTTCTCCTGGAGGTCCTCGCTGTCCTTGATCACCCTATATGAAAATAAAATGTTGTTAATATAAACAAAAGCTATTTGATAAACTTTTGGAACTATAAAACACTATCCTGAGCAGCCTGGATGGCTCAGCAGTTTAGTGCCGCCTTCAGCCCAGGGTGTGATCCTGGAGACCCGGGATCAAGTCCCACATCAGGCTCCCTGCATAGAGCCTGCTTCTCCCTCTGCCTATGTCTCTGCCATTCTCTCTCTCTCTCTCTCTCTCTCTCTCTCTCTCTCTCTCTCTCTCTCTCTCCTCTCTCTCTCTATCTCTCATGAATAAATAAATAAAATCTTAAAAAAAAACACCATCCATATTGCCTGACTGCTCTTTCATTGGGTGCTTTTCTCTCTCATGGATGCCTAGCTCAAGAAATTTTTTTATAAAAATTACATTGTCTTAAAAATTTATATTGCCATAGAGATAAAAGAGATCTGCATGTCTTTTGATTTCATTTTAAGTGTGTAAAGCTTCTGTGCTCTCTGGATTTATAGGTATAATAAAATTAAGATCCATACTGTAGGTAACCTTAACATCAGTAACTATGTCTACACTATCAGCTAAACTCACTATCATGGTGGGTTAAGGTTTGGGTCAGTTGCCAATCTTTTCTCCATGGCAATAATAGTGGTTTTTGTCAAAATTATCTGGCCAATGTTGACTAATGGCATAAGTGGTAATAGATGAGAGGATGTGTCTTCCTAAAATAAAGCTTTTGTTGAATTGCAAGACTACTCTAAAACCTCAAATGGCTTCCTATTGCTACAAGATCAGTTCAAAAAGCTCACGCTGGCATTAAATACTTTCCATAATGTGATCCTACCTTATCTATTCAATTTCATCTTCTCAACAGAAACTTTCCAAGCCAGGCAGTAACAGTCCCTATGACAAGACACCCCTCCGGCCCTATCACCACCAACAGTGCTCTTCTCACCTGTACTCTGCTGCCCTTCCCACCCAGAATGGCTTTCCAGATCAACCTGCCTCTAAGATTCTCTTACATGCATTACCTCTACCACATACTCTAGGGCTTCATGTTGTAATTTATGATGTAGTTACATTCTGTCTTTCCCACTGGCCATAGGAGCTTAATAGTTGAAAATTCTATTTTACTTACACCTTTTCTACTTTTTCTGTGATAAAGGTAGTTATTAATGGACAGTTTTTAAATTTACTTCTAGAAAAGGTGTGAGACAGCCTATAATAATGACATGTACATACAGCAAACAAAATATAGAATAATGAGATCAGAAATCATAGAAAATGAAAAAGGATAGAATTACCCAAAACCTGAAATGAGACTGTAACCCTAAGCATCCTGTGGCAGCCAAAACAAATGGAAAACACAGCAAACATAAAAACTCAACAATAAGACTTCACCTATGTGAAAAACAAAAACCCACATCAAGTCAAAAGAATATATCTCTTTATTCAAGAAAGTGATGCTTATCTTAATCAAATCTGTTTAAATAAATATAAAAACTATTGCTCATTTTACCACTTTAATTATTCACGCGTAAAAAATACTTGCATTCACACACACACACACACACACAAAGCAAATAATCTATCACTGATCATAGCTAAATAATCTATCTTTGGGTCTTATAAAAGGCAAACAGCTTACAGGTGCACCAGGAATCCCTTGGGGCCCAGGTTCTCCATCTATGCCCCGAGCACCCTTTAAAAAAAGAAGACAAAGAAATGAAATTGAGATCAGTCATTTATGTTGAAGGGCACATCAATCTTTCTATAGAACTTTAATAGCCAGATAAAAAGGACGTTTTGTGTTTGAAATACATACTGTATTCATCAGTGAACCCCAGGAAGTATTCAATCAGATACCCCAGTTACGAAAACACTTGTTTCCATCTCTTCATCCCAGAGTAGTTACGGCCAATCTTTGATACCACCCTTGGTATTTTAAATTAACACTGCATCCATTCTTGATTGATGACATGAACTAAAAACACTGCTACCTATTTAGGAAGCTGGCAAAGCTATCAGAAGAGGTTTGGTAGTCACCCTCTAGGGTTGTCAGGATTCCTATGGATATTCATTAATGGTGAAGATCAAGGAGCCACCCAAATAGTTGCAGTGGACTCTGCTGCTGCCACAGCTGTAATGGGATTCTGTGACACTGGATTTCTACCAAGATCCATAATCAGAAGTCCAGTCATATGATTTAGAAGAATGAGTTGTAATAAGTATTTGAGTAGCCCCTGTTCCATCCTAGGTAGATGATAGGTTCAGTTTATATAAAATAAGTCATCTATTTTTTTAACAGATTCATCTTACCAAGGGATGGAAACTACAGAGCTTTATAAATCTAGTTATCTTGAAATCAACTGTGACTTGGTTATATTGTACATATCACCTCTTTATTTAAAGGTAAGAATCTAAATGTGATTTTAAGACAAAAATGTGGGGTTTTTTTTTAGTGTTTTCTATATATGCTATGTGTTAAAATACAAACCCCTTCTTTAAATCTTTTTCTCATCTGCTAAGTGAATGAGAAGTCAGAAGGGCAACCGAAGTCAATAGGTCATCTCCTAATGAATAGGGTTGAGATAGGGAGATGATAAAATAAATGGAAAACAGTCAAAAGAGTGCTGGATGGATATCAGGCCAAGAAAACCAGGTGTACAGCATCTGTAGTAAAAATTAAGAATTAGAAAACCTTTGATAGGAGGTTCAGAAAAGGTAGAATCAAAGAAAGAACACAACTGAAGGAGAGGTACCACAGAGCCTTGAAATTCTTTGATCCCTAAAAACTAGAGCAGAGTAGAAAGCATTTTACATTCACTAGGGAAGAAGAGGTTTGGAAGACCCAAAAAAGACCTTGAATTCATCATTCACCCTGAGTTGTGAGCGTGGAGCCCAGCCTTTGCATTATAGAAAAAGCTCTGATGCACTCACTCTCTCTTATTGCTGTTCAGCATGAGCTCAGACCCAAAATGCTGTTACTAGGCAACCACTCCAGGGGTCTGAGTTCATGAGAAGAGTTTGCTTTTTTTTTTTTTTTTTTTGTTATTGAAAGCAATTTGACAGAACTCAGAGGAAATGAGAAATTTTGAAAAATGCCAAGTAAAAGAATATCTCATACAAAGAGCATATCAAGAACAGTAATTGGTTTCAAAGTGTGGGGTCACATATTTTAGATGATTTAAACCCAAAAAAGCAAAGGTCTAGGTATCAGCAACTCCAAAATAAATGGGATTTATTATTTAATAACAGAAGGGATATACACAGAATGTTACTTAAGGTAACATGAATATAGAAATATGAAATATGCTTTTTTAGAAAAGAAATATTCTAGAGGAAATGGAAGAGTAAAACAGGCAGAATTAGAATACTTAGAAGGAACAAAGAGACTGAAAAAAATGAAGTTGAAGGAATTAGTCACAAAATAATTCCTTCAATTTCCAAAAATATGCATTCCTTTTAAAAATTTTATTTATTGAGCACCTACAATGTGCAAGTTATTCCCACTTCACTGTTAACAAAAGCCTCTGCTTCTGTGTGAAATGACACAAATTAGCCATAGAGATTCTAAAAAGAAAGAGGCAAGGGTCAGAAGTGGTGGTAGGCAAAGTGCTTTTTTTTTTCCTGGAACCTATAAATTGGCTTTCCTAATACATTCTCTAAGTAGTAACCATTTTCTTAAAATCTGATAGAGAAGCTAGACACACCCCTACACACATACACAGTGAGGAAAACATTCCTGAGCCCATCATGAACATTCAGGTTACCATTATTTTTGTTTATGATATTCACTCAGAAAAAGCATTCCCTATCTCCCATTGTCCCGCAATGGGAACATGTCATCCTTCAAGGCCTGGCATCCTTCTAATGCCACCTCCTCCATGAGCCCTCCTAGTTCCCTGATCAAGAGTAGCTACTCCTTCGTCTTCACTCCCTCACATCACTTGCCCTTGTCCTCAAATGTATGTGTCTCTTGTTACAAATGTGAACATTATTTCTCTTATTTCTCTTTGAATCTCCCCAAACATCTCACAATGACTTGCTATAAAATGGTGGGAGAATCTGATCTTTGAGAATGGGCTAAGGACAGGTTGATAAGCTCCAGCCACAAGCGTATGATCCCTGTTGAATACAGAGCTCAGGGATCAGCCTGGAGGGAGAGCCACGAATGGCCCTGGTGTCCCCAGGGATATCCTGCCTTCTGTTACCTCTCTCTTTCCTCTCTCTTTCCATCCTCCCCTGTCTTTGTTTTGATTTCTAGGTATTGTCTCAGTGGTATCAGTATTAACCACTGATAATAATAAAAGAGATAAAAATTTAACATCCCTGTTTATTCTTATTTACCAAAGATAATTTAAAATATGTAATACATAAGTATCATACATACTACTTGTTTCTATTGTTTATAACAGAAATGTGAAAATCTAATCAAACATCTACAAAGCAAATAAGAAATTAAAAATGATGTTGCTGAAAATAAGATATTTTTAAGTGGGCAAAAATTTAAATATTTATACATGTTGATGTCATATAATCATCATCTTACTTTTTCCCCTTTGGCCCCAACAATGCCAGTGATGCCTCGTAATCCTTGCGCTCCCTGTAAATATAAAAAAGAACAGTGAATTGTCTTAGTTGAGGAACACACTTGTGTATCTTATCACAAAAGTTGATCCAGAAGGATGTCAACATAACCAAAGGTAACACTAAGAAATAGTGACATTATATAAACAAATGGATGCCAGTGTCCCAAATTACCCCATTGTGCATATAATTGCAGCAATCGGCCAAAGCCCAAGGGGCTAACTTTTTATTAATAGATATGATTACAAGCAATTAAGAATGTTCTAATTATAATGATTACATGCTGACATAAGGTACATTAAATCCAGCGGATGGTATACCTGCTGCATATTCAGGGTACATGAAATTTCCTATATCATGTGAGAGTACCAGAGAATAGAAAAGATCTCTATCATCCTCTTGCATTCAATATTTGCTCTCAGATTGCCTAGGCCTGATACCTAGTAAATGAATGTATGTAGTTATAAGTAAATTTTTTCTGTTAAAATGTTGTTTGAATATACAATGGGGATCTCCTTTCCTATTTTGAAAAAATGGTAATCTCCCAATGCTGGCTTGGTGGGACAATACAGAATATCATGTTACTGTAATACTATTAACCCAAATACTAAACAGGAAATATTCCAAAAGTCATGAAAAAAAATATGTGCATATCCTAGTTAAATATTTTTTTTTAAAATACTTTACTGGAGGTCCTTGAGCTCCAACTTCTCCCTGTTCTCCCTGGTCACCTTCTTCACCCTAATAAACAGAAAAGCACACCAAATGTCATTCCAGCAAATGAGCATAGACAGATAACTCAGCACATTTTAAATTCACTTGGCATTCCCTGAGTTGTGTTACTATACTTTCTTAAATTAGTTTATGAGTAATCCATATTAATTACAGGCCATTCAGAAAATAAATAGAATTATACAAATAAAGTCACCCAAATCCTTCCCTCCTTCAACTATAAATACCAGTAACATCTTAAATGCTTCTCTAAAAAAGGGGTGATGGGGAGGAAAGAATAAAGAGAACATATATACATTCACATTCCCAGTGGGGGGGAGGGGGTGTTATCAGAAAAATATGATCCTGGGGATCCCTGGGTGGTGCAGTGGTTTAGAGCCTGCCTTTGGCCCAGGGCGCGATCCTGGAGACCCGGGATCGAATCCCACGTCGGGCTCCCGGTGCATGGAGCCTGCTTCTCCCTCTGCCTCTCTCTCTGCCTCTCTCTCTCTCTCTCTTTCTCTCTCTCTCTGTGACTATCATAAATAAATAAAAATTAAAAAAAAGAAAGAAAAATATGATCCTACTATGCAAACTTTTCCATAAACTACAGTATTATACATTTTTGATTTTCATTTTCAACTTTTCTTATTATAATTTTTCCACTATACCCAATTTTTAAAAAGTATTTAAATCAGCCTTTCTTTTCATGGTTTATACCTTTTATGCCACCCACAGAAAAGCTTTTTCTACCCCCAAAATATATAAATATTCATCCATATCCTTCTATAGTTTTATAGTTTAATTTTTTACATAGAAATCTTCAGTTTATTTTAATGAAAAATGTAAAGTAGAAATCTATCATTTTCTTTTTTCCTGGTAATTGGCCACTTTCTCTAATATCATTTATTGAATACTAGATTCTCTCCACACAGGCTGGAAAATTCTTTATCATAAAAGTAAATTGAGAGTATACTTGTTTCTAGATTTCTTATCCTGCTCTTCTCATCTGTTGTATGAATTTTCCAAAACCATGTTTTAATTATTCAAATTTTATAATATCATTTTAATTTCAGAGAGAATTCCTTGACCTTAATTTTTCATTTATAGTTACTCTTACTTTTCAATTTTCCCTAAATGTTTACTCTACCAGATGAACTTTAGAATTACTTGGAATATCTTCATTAAAATACTACTTGTTTTATATTAGGACTGCCCTAAATTAAAAGATTAATATGGACAGAATCAGAATCTTTACAATACTGAGTCTATTTTGGAAATCAGTATATCTCCCTATTGAATTGAATCTTTTTTTTTCCTTCAATAAAGCTTTGGTCTTTCCCTCATATATAGTCTTGAACATTTAAGTTTGTTCTAAGGTATCCTGACTTTTTGCCAATGGAATCTTCTTCCATTTTGTTTTCTAACTAATTATTGTTTGACTTTTTGATATTAATTTTATAACCTCTGATATACTTTAAAATGTTAGTATATTCTGAAAAGAAATCCAACTGCTATTTCTTACTGAAAGATTATTGACTGAAAAAAATGTTATTTTTCCCTCTGACAAAGGTTTTCTTTTTTATAGAAATATATTGCCCTACATCTCCTGTGGTAATGGATATCTTAAACTGTAAAAATAATCATGAGAAAAACTCTTCATTTTTAATACTATGTGCATAATATTAGATAAAAATTTACTTCTGTTGTTTATTGTATATTTCAATTCACCCATGTTCTTGCTCTATAGACTATACCTTATAGAGACTATCACATACACATACCAAAATACAGAAAATTGAATAGCAAATATTAATATAGAAACTTTGGGCATTAATGCAAAGAACAGGTTATGTCTAAATCATTTATACTTGATTTTTTAATTAATTATGAGAGTATTACATAGTGGTCTTAGTCTCATAATTATACTCAGATTATGTTCCATAGGCATATATGATTGACAGCGAGAAGAAGCAGTCCCAATGGGCAAGTCAGTGAATTAGCTAGTTCAAGGAATGGATAATCAACACATGTGTAAAATTAAATGTTACCTGTATATCCCTACCTAAATCTCAGAACAACAGTGATATGTGCACAGTAAGTTTTCATTAGCAAGGTTTGGGGTATTATCCTATAGATTATAGGATAAACCTTGGAGTAATAGAGGTGTTGATTTAAATATTTCACCAGCAGATGAATAGCACACAATTCATCTATAACCATAACATAATGACAGATTTAGGAAGAGCAATTTATTATCTTTTTACTGAAAGATCTTTGATTATTCATTCTTATACTCATAAAATATCTTAAAATCTTCACTAACTAAATTTATGGCAGAATTGTGAATTCACCTTCAGTTTACAGCTCAGTGCATCTATTATTCTTTTAAGGTTCATTCTTCAATGAGCTATTATCATTTTATCTTCACATGCCAAATTTCAAAGAAACCACTGAATGGTGTAAGTCACACAACATGTGAAATAAATCACAGGAGTTTTCAAAAACGACCAATAAAATTTTGGCCAATTATCTCACACACCAAAACAATTTTAAGGTTCTTCACTGAAAATCAAACCAAATTTGAGAGTCTGGATAAGTAACTGGTATAGTTATCAATAATATTGGTTTCTTGGGCAGTAGAGGAAAATACTCTAATTGACAGCTTCATCCCCAAATGGGGCTGTAAAAGTTCCCCCAAAGAAAAGGGGTCATTAAAAGAAGGAGGAAGGGAGCATGGCATCAAACATAACAGAAGTTTACCATATCTGCTTTACTACATGCATTACCTCATGAATATTTTTTGGTATAATGTAATATTCTTACACACCTTTTTTTGTGGTTAGATAATATTTTATTATATGAATCTGCCATACTTAATTTAGCCAGTCTCCTGTGGTTGGACATTTTCTTTTCAGTTCTGTGCCCTTGACACTTAGAATAAACCCTGGCATGTAGCAGGTGCTTAATAAGTATGTGTTGATTTTTTTTCAATTATGAATCTTAAGACTTAATGGAGGAATGAGCATGTAGAAAAATTTCTAAAGTACTCAACTTTTTTTCTACTTTCTCTAATTTGACATTAAGAACCCAGCTGTTACATTCCAGATAAATAAAACACCTTAATTACTCAGGGCCTAAGTAATAAGACTAAAAATAAATGTCCAAAATGTAATAGGCTAGAGAAAATTGGCTTACTTATCCTGATTATCTGAGATTGTTCAACAGACTGATTTTAACTAAAGAGTTCAAGGATGTTAATGCCTGATGATATTAATAAATTGCCTCTTCAGTCCTTAACTTCCAAAGAAAAGGACTAATTTTCTGCCTCCACCCAATTAAGGTATAGAAGGACATGCTCAAAAAATGTCTAGAAAACCCACATTAATAAGAACAGTTTGACTTTTTAAAATATTACAGAATTAACAGTGACAAAACTTCTGTTATGCAAAAAGTCAAATTTGTAGACACTTAAAGGCAATTTACACTAGTGGATTTTTGAAAAAAGCAAATAAATCATCTTACTTTAAATTTCTGCCTTGGTTTTTCTGCAAGGCATGCTAGCCTCAATGCAAGTTATGCTGTGGATTCCATATTTCTATCCAGACAATAACATAAGTCTATAACTCACTTCCAGATTACTCAACATCTATAATCTATCGAAATGAAGTCAGAAACAAATTATTTCAGAACTTAAGATGAGAAGCTATCAGCTATCAACTTCCTGTTTGCTAGTGTCAGCAATACTTGTCATAAAATTTTACATGTGCCATAAAATTTTGTTTAGAAGAGTGGAAAAACTAGCTGAATAACATTTGAATATCAAAAGCATCAAGGAAAAAAAGCTGAGTGTTATTGATTTCAAAAGAAAAGTAAGAGGTAGCAACACAAGAAAGAATGAAATGTATGGTGTGTTATTGTTTTCGTAATTGAACAACATGAACATATTATGCTTAGAATATTGATGCATCTACTGAAAACCCATCAATCATCATTTGAAAAGGAAGGATAAAATATCATGCTTTATTATTGCTTACAATTTCTTGTAATAAAAGTAATCACTACCTCATAATCACAATTTACTCACTATATATCCTTTTTTCTCACCTTGTGACCTTGTCTTCCAGGTTCACCAATTTCTCCTTTAGCCCCTTTATGACCCTAAAAATGTGTAATTAACAAATAAATAAATAAACAAATTTTAAAATAATTCTATTGGGTTTGTCACAGAAAGTGGTCAGAAAATTCACAAAGTGATCTTGCTTCCCTAAATTTGTGTCAGTATGCTACACAGAAATAGGTTAGGTTACAAAGAAAATGACTGCCTTAAACGACCTTAATACTGCCATGTGTATTACATGATTTAGTGTGTATAATAAATATTAGCTTTCATTAATAGAAAAACACTGTTCTAGAATGACAAAGCTTCATTATCTGGTTCAACAACATGATTTATTATCAGCTGATCCCTAGATCCCTCTATCCCAAACTTCCTCTCACAGTTGGGTTAAGAGCACTAAGTCTTCTTCAGGATAAGTAACTTTTTTCTCGAAGGCGACAGTCCTGACCGAACTCAGCTGGCTATCCCCTGCTCTCTCAATGCTTCTCCAAAAACCCTTCTGCCTCCTCTATACCCACCTTCTTCCTGGAGGTAGAAGAAGAGCTGATATAAGAAGGGGATCTCCCCAGATGCACAACTTCCACCGCTTCTTGTACACAATTTAAAATCAAAGGGAAGGCCATAAAGGGCAGTCAGTGCAAGCTGCATAGCGTGAGAAGAAAATCCCTACTCTTCTTGTCAGGCCATTTGTTCTAAGCATATGTGTGGTTTGGGTGGTAACATGAGGCAAAGCGGAAATGAACATTCCAAAATTAAGTCTCTCAGAGCTTTCACCCTCAGAGACTTTCTTGTTCTGAGAGTGTAGGTCTTTGTGAAAAATAAGACACCAATCCACGATCAAATCTTCTGCAGTCTTGGGAACACACTAAAACTAACCTCGGAGAAAACCATAATTGGAAAACCAGTGCCCTGGGGCCTTTCAGATCATAGCAGAACTCCACTGCTCTGGAACTTTCAAAATCACTTCAGACTCACACACTAAGGAACAAAAACCACTTAACCCCAACATTTGGTGTTTTTTATGGGAAATTTTGAAGTAATCATGATATAGAGTGAGAGAAAAACATTTTTGGGAAGTCTCTTTTCTTGCCTATTTTGCACTGTTTTGACAATTTTTTAACTAAAATAGTTTCAAATACATTATGTATATAATTACTTCTCAGTCTTTCTCCATAGGAAGCAAACGTTGGAACCTTAATTTGGTGTTATAGAGTCTCTCAAGCCAATACATTTTATTGATATTTCGTCCCTAAACAACAGAAGTACTGTGTCATCAAACATCCATGTCTCCCAGGGGGTACCTGCCAAAAGAACCAGCTGAAGTTTCTAGGACCAGAGAGGGGCCACAGATTAAGCCAAAGAATAAGCAAACATAGATTTGCTTAATCCATCAAAATGGGATCTTGCACCAGAAAGGCCAGTGTTCAGGAAAGGATCAATATTTTTTTTTCTGTGGATAATACTATTTAATGTAAAATACTGAAATTATTCTCTTACCCTCATGCCTGGTAAGCCTGGATATCCTGAGCGACCTGGTGGACAGGAATTGGGACACTGCCAGAGAGAGAGAGAGAGAGATTGGTAAAGAGAGCATAAATTAGAGCCTCCCTTTACAACAAAAAGGTATTTTTTTAGAGATTCCAGCTTCAGTATCCTAGTATCCTAACTCTCAGATACAGGAAAATTCACACGTTATTCATTAAATAACTCTGAATACCCCTTTTTTCAATTTCATTTTTAAACTCAGAAATACTCCTGGCTCATAGAAAAGTACAGAGAATAGAACAAGCTTTCCCTGTATATTCTCCATCCAGATTTAATAAATGTTAATATTTTGCCATATTTATTTCAGATTTATTAAAGAAATAAAATGCTTCCAGACACCAAATGTTTCCAATCCAATGTACCACAAGCCGATCCTTTTCCCCTCCCCCTCCACCAGAATGGCTGTATCCTGAGGTCAACAAACCCTTGTCAAATTGGCCGAAATTGCATTTAGTACAGTTTACCAATAATATTTTAATATTAGTCTCTAAGTAAAGCAAGTCTTAGACGGAGTTCTTTGATTTCTGTCTTCTGAAATTGGTGTGCTCTGATGAAAATGATGCCCTAGTCATAAAGCAAAAAAATTATGGAAAAACAAAAACATTTCCATAATGAAAACCAGTTGCAGTCTGAGTGTATACAAACCACTAGCCCACTAGTACTATGGATTGCTCTGCTATCCAAGATTATCCAGCAAGATAATCTTAAAGAGAATTCATCTGAAGATCAGTTGAATTTAAGTCTTTGACTTAAACTGTATTTTGTTCAAAGGTAAACATCTTACCAATGGATCTCCATCATGAAAGCCAATGGTTCCCTAAAGTAAATAAAATATTAAAGTTAAGAATGTAGTTAAATACCTAATTCAAATCTACTAGTACTAGAAAGTCCCCTGGACAAAAATATAATAAATCTATTTGTTCAATAGCATATAAGGAATGAATAGCAGCATAGAATATGCTGATATTCTAAAAACTTTGACACATGGGCATATTCCTTTTGAAGACCTTAAATTAGAGTAGATTGTTTTTTTTTTCAGGGAACTGAAGGGAAATGAAATGAGAAACAGGATAGATAATATGGGGAGCTCTGGATCATACATTTAAAATATCAATTATTCGGGCCCCTGGTGGCTTAGTCAGATGAGCATCTGACTCTTAATTTCAGCTCAGGTTGGGATCTCAAGATAATGAAGTAAATCCCGCCTTAGACTTTGTTCAGCAGGGAATCTACTTGAGGATTTCTCTCCTTCTCCCTCTGCCCTTCCCCTGACTCACATGCTTTCTCTCCTTCTCTCCCTCAAATAAATAAATACATCTTTTAAAAAACTAAAAAGAAATAAAGTATGAATTATCTCTTATTTGAACTCCTATTTTTTAAATTGTTTATTGTGTAAATCCTTTGTAAAAAATAGCTCATTTGAAAATGTCCCTTTTATATGTCCAAGTTTTGAGCATTTGAGAAATCACAAATGTCAAAGGAACTTCAAATATATGAGTAAGCCACTCCCTGAGAAAACCTCTTTTTTAAATTATTGTTATTCATGCTCTGAATGTATGAAAAAAATTGGTAGCCATTTTGGAAATTTAAAGAAAGACTTGATTAACAAGTACTTCCATTTTTGGTTCTTAGGTTTCTTTAATCCTAACTCTCAGATACAGGAAAATTCAAGCTGCAAATAACTTACACTGGGTCCGGGAGGGCCAGGGGGGCCAGGTGGTCCTCTTCTCCCAGGGTCACCCTAAGTTATTTGAAAATTGTGACACAGTGGTTATACACATGTCGAAACACTGCATAAAACTGGTGAGGCATGAGAGAATATTATTAGAAACCCCCACAGAGCTCAGCCGTGTATATACCTGCCACTAAAATCGATGGGTGGCCCATAATCCTATTAGCTGCACAAAACTAGAAGAATAAAGGAGCTCCAGTCTCACCAAAGTAACAAAACAAGGCAGAAAGAGATTTGGGGAAAAAAGTAAAGCCAATTCTTCTCTACAGAATGATCACTTTATTGCAAAAACAAACTGGAAACACTACATATTTTTCTAGTTGATTTACAGAGGAACTAGAACAGCCAATGCTGCTAGTGCCATCCAGATAAGGGTAACAAAAGAAGGCTTGCACCCCACCTGAAGCTATGGGATGGAAGGGTAATCTCTGCAATGCCAGATTCTCCCTGGTACTGTTCACTCACAAGCTATTACTTGGCCTGTCACCATACTATTTTGCAAATGGGATAGAAGATCAGAGATGGCTAAATTCAATGAAAATGAATTTCAATTTGTCTTAACATCTAGAGTTAACTCCTTGCATATATTTTCCTTCTTTATGGTCTATTATAAGAAGCCAAAAGCATCTTCCAATTAATTTAACATTACAACCATTTCATATTTATTCATTTGTTCAGTGAATAATTTTATTAAATAGTAAACTTAGAAGCAAAAATAAGTATATAGTACATGGCTCCTATTCTCAATGTGTTTACAATTATCTATCCTCCACATAATGTCACTACTTCTCAACATTTCTGAAATATTTATTGAATAGTAATGTCAAGAACTTAACTACTAACAATTTCTTGCATGGAGTTCATCTCTTTATTGCCTAATGTTAAGTTCTGTTGGTTCAATTATAATTTAATGGTCCTAACATAAATATACTTGGCAACAATTTTCAGCTATTCACTTTTCATTTCATGCAGAGAGCCTAATATAAAAGACACTGGACCTTAATTCCAGCTGAGAGTTTATAAAATAGAGGTGACACCCTTTTGATTGATCACTAATTCTGGAAGTTGGGAAGAAAAATTCAGCTGAAAACTTTGGAAAAAAAATTAAAATCACTCTACAAAAGTGAGGTAGCATTATTATCCCTGGTTCCCATCAATATTATGAACAAGAATGAAATTCATCTGCCATCTTCTGGATTTACAGAGGAAAGCATACAGTTAGGGCAATTTGCCTTCCTGAGTAATGTCATCTATTAAATTAGCAAATGTCTATCAAGATGCACTGTAATACTCACAATTGGTCCAACACGGCCAAGCTCTCCAGGAAGCCCTGCTGCCCCAGGAGGGCCCTGTATGTATATAGGCAATGGAACATTACTCAACTATAAAAAAGAATAAGATCTTACCATTTGCAACAACACAGATGGACCTAGAGGGTATTACACTAAGTAAATAAGAGTAAAATACCACATTATTTCACTTATTTGTGGACTCTAAAAAAACAAAACAAAGAAGCAAACAACCAACAACAAAAAAACAAACTCTTAAATTCAGAGAACAAACTGGTGGTCGTCAGAGGGGAGGTGGGGGTGAGGGGTAAAAGGTACAAACTTCCAGTGACAATATAAATAAATCTCAGAGATGAAAAGTCCACCATAGAGAACATAGTCATTAAGATAGTAATAACATTACCTGGTAACAGATGATGACCACACTTATTGTAGTGAGTACTGAATAATGTATAGAATTGTTGAATCATAATACCTGACATTAATATAACACTGCATGCAAATTATCCTTCTATTTTTAAAAATGCAATTATAAATAAATAAATAAATAGACATGGTGACTTATGGATGTTTTTATAATCTATCATAAATGATATCAAATATGATAAGTAACTGATTTAGGATTATGTATCTGTGCTAGTTTTGGTTTCCAATGACACAAAAACTCATTTGACCAAATTTTAATTACTTAAAATGGAATAGAAATTTCTAAAATGAATAAACCAGAACAGAGGTGTGTCATAATAGCTATCTAAGGTCATGTAGGTAGGACACTATAAATACCACTGGGTAGCATCAGTTGGAGAGTAAGCTTTTGGAGCTTTTGGAGCTTTTGGAGCTGAGAAATAGGCCATTGTTAAAGACTACATAGAAATAAACCAAGAGATGGTACTTACGGGAGGCCCAGGAATACCACGGCCCTAAAAGATTCAAATAAAAATTGTTATGGTAGGTGATTTAAACTCAGCATAAATACAGACAGACATAACTCAGTTTAAAAACAAAGTATAAACTTTGTCACTAAATATATGATGTTCATTCTAAAGAAAGGACTGGATTAAAAATAAAAGCAAACATGGCTCTACTTCTAAAGGAAGAAGCTTGTTTCAGCACCTCAAATATTCCTTTGATGTCTAAGCTAACCAATAATACTTGCCCCAATCTTAACAAAAAAAAAAAAAAATCAAAGAAGTCATTCATGCTTGCTGTCAGGAAAACTTAACATCATTCACAAAGAAGCATATCACAACCTGACAGTTTAAGATTTTTTTGTTGTGTTTTATAAGAAATCTACATTAAAACTGCTTTATAATTTATAATGACATTTTGCTTTATAATTTATAATGTGATGTTTGGAAATTCCTCCAAACAAACATTCAGCACAGAAAAAGGCAGGGGGGGGATTAAAAAAAAACAACAAAAACAAAAACAAAAACAAAAAAAAACAGAAACCACCCTCTTTTGACAGATAGGATTATGTTTCCAGACACCAAATCTAGTAGATATTGAAAATATAATGGTGACACTCCAGACATGACTTACTATGCGATCTTAATTTATTATTCTGAATTTGATCTTAAAGTGATTATTTCATCTCCCTCTCCTTTATATCTCTTTAGCTACACTGAACTACATGTGATGAAGGATTGACACCATATCTTATTCATCCTCCTCACCTCAATTCCTACCACAGGACCTACTATATGCTAAACCCTAACTACATGCTTGTTGAATTTTATATAACTGAACATCAGCTGCCTTGAATCTCTTTTATCTTTGCTTTCCAGGTTTAGTATTTCTCTATTGGGAATCCTCATTACTCCTTTCTCTCCTACATTGGCTTGCATAATTTTTATTCAAGCTATCTCTGATACCATATTTGTGTTAGCTTTTCATTCCAAACTCCCTTTTCTGAAATATCCATACATGAAGCATTTCTTGGAATCAATGTACACCGTGTGATACTGATATTATTATTTCTAATTATTTACGCAGCCAAAATGAGCAAGAATTTCACATGAGCAGTGTGTTTTAATAATAAATGGGGCTTTTGGTATCCCTGGGTGCCGCAGAGGTTTGGCGCCTGCCTTTGGCCCAGGGAGCGATCCTGGAGACCCGGGATCGAATCCCACATCGGGCTCCTTGCATGGAGCCTGCTTCTCCCTCTGCCTGTGTCTCTGCCTCCCTCCCTCTCTCTCTCTCTCTCTCTCTGACTATCATAAATAAATAAATTTTAATAAATAGGGCTTTTTCAAGGCATTTGAAAAATTACTCCTATTTGATCATTTTAATATGTAAATCAATTTGGGAAATGTGTTATGCTTGAAAATACCAAAGTAATCAATAAGTTATTTCATTACCATAGCTCTAGATGTTTGACAAATTTCAAATTTCACAGAGTTTTTTAAAAAGGTATCTCTATAAGATGTTGAGCTCTGAGTGGAAAAATATGGGAGAAAGGCCAGCAAGTTATTCACTTCTGAAAATAGCCTTATAATGGAAAAGTTGACAGACAGTGAAATATGGCCATGAAAACAGTGCAAATAGAAAACAAAGACAAAAAATACAGATTAATGACAAGAACAAACGAGGAATAAAGAGCAAATGGAAAGGAAAAGCAGCCTTTTCCTTTGTGTTAGAAATAACACAAATCAGGCAGATTGGGCAGTGCAGGAAGGGACTAGCCAGGTAATCAGGCTGGTAATCATATGGTTGATATTCCATTAGAGATAAAACCAGTTGTGAAGAAAGTGGTGTGATACTATGGTCTAAACATCGAATATTCAGATTTGCTGTTATTATGCAAGAAATGTTTGCTATCAAGGGGAGTGAAAGGGAACTTGTCTATTGAACTCCTTCATGCTGCATATTATATCAAAAGCTGCAATTAAAAATTTCACAGTGGCAGAAAAAGACAGGAGATTTTCAATTCTGTCGCTTTACAGTTACTTACTGGAAATCCCCGAGATCCAGGAACACCAGGTTCTCCCTAAAAATAAAAATAGCTTCATTGTACTTAGCTTTTTGTAGCATAAATATGTAAATACGTAAATTGCATAAATTTTAAAATCATTAAAACACTCCATCTTGGTGTTTTTAATTTAATTAAATTAAACTAAAACAAGATTTTAGTTGAACAAGTGCATTTCCTCTGTTTCGTGACTACTTTTTCAGTTGATTTGCAAACACTACAATAAAATTATACTTCAGCATCTAACTAATACCAGCAATTAATAGCAGAGGGCCAACTTACTTTTTGTCCTCTTGGTCCGACAGAACCAGGGGATCCATCAGGTCCTGTTAATCCCTAACAAAGCAAGATGATGTTAGAACTAATATAGCATCCTTAGGCAAACCCCTAAGTGGATAATTGCATTTTATATACTAAGTATGTACAGAATGGTTACCTTTGTATGATGTGAATGTTTACAAAGAAATAATTTTCCTATATTCTTACTAAAGGTAATGTTTACCAAGAAATCTTCCTGTTACTTTCTGTTGATAAATTTTATCATATTCCTAACTTCCTACTAACTGCATTATCACAGAGTCCAATAATTTTGTATTTTTTGTCTCTGCTTTGGAAAAATGCAATGTAACAACTGTAGCATTCTAATAGCTAAATCTAATGGGACCACAGATCTTGGCTCTGTCATTTACCCATGTTTATGCACCTCCTTTACTTCATTTATAAAATAAAAATACTATATGTCTCTATCTCTCTAATAGTTTCTAATAGTGTCTAATAGAGTTAATAAAATGTTTCTTCAATAGAAATTTAAAATATTCAACCTCATTATTGCCTTTAGCCATCTAAAACTCTCTAGCCATCTTCCAGCAATAACAATTGCTTATTGAAGAACTTAACTTTTAAAGTAAAATGTTTGAGAAGATGAGTGTCTCTACATTATCTTCCTTAATAAAAATAGCTTTAAGTATATATTTTCATGTGTGTCACTTGGTACATAGAATTTAAGCCAATTACTATAAAATGCATTTATAACTATCATATTGAATACTAAGCAGTTGTTAAAGCATATCCTCCAAACATTCTAATTCCCTACCAGTACTTGTTTTTTACTATCAGCTTTAATATAAAATAAATCTTAAAGCATTAATAACAATATATGTACACCTGAATTTCCATATTTGATGATGATGCATTTTTTTATTTTTTCTTTACTCTGACACTCTTAAATATCATTTAAAATGTAATCTTGAAGTTATACCTTGCCAAAGATAAATGTGTATGTGTATCTGTGTGTATATATGTATATACATATGTGTACACATACATGTGCATGCATAAATAAACATCTTACAAAACTATTATCAAGATTTTGAACAAAGACTCAAATGGTATTAATTGAGGAGGAATTCCTTGCAAAAATGAAAGCTCTACTTAAAAAGGGATTTCCAATATCCATATTTAATCTGTCAGAGTTTACACAAATATCACTAAAATGCTTCCATGTAATTTATATAAACAACTAGTTCACTGACCACCATTTTTACATTTCTCTACATCAATCCATTTCCCTTACAACTCCAAAATGTGAATCAAAGGAAGTAGAAAAAAATGAGTTGAAAATGTTAATTATTGAAATTTTACCAAAGAAAATTATTAAACACACATAAAACAATTTTTCACAGACTGAGTTTCAGTCACCTGAGTCTAAGTACTGCACTGTAATTTAGAACTGCTGAGCACCTGGAGTAATGAAACTTTGGCTTTTGATTTTTGTAAGCAAACGATACATCCAGGAGCACCCTCTGCAGGCACATATGGCACAAAGATTTTACAAACCTCTGAACACATTTGACTAATGGAACCTCTAACTCCCACATTCTATATATACCCTCCAAAAACAATCCTGATCAATTCCCACACATGCAACCAACTAACAATCTTCAGTCTGTGACTGGAATAACTGACAAGATTGGTGAACATTAGCTACTATATATGATAGAATTTCAGCTGCATAATAATAAACCAGAACCAAGTAAATGGTTAGACAACATGGAGGCTGCTTCCAAGTCACTTCTTATTTAAAGTACCTTCTATAACACATGATAAATTATATCGATCACTAGAAGTTCTTTGAATTAAATTGATAATACAGGGGCACCTGGTTGGCTCAGTGACTGAGCCTCTGCCTTTGGCTCAGGTCATGATCCTGGAGTTCTGGGATCGAGTCCCACATTGGGCTCCCCACAGGGAGCCTACTTCTCCCTCTGCCTATGTCTTTTCCTCTCTCTGAGTCTCTCATGAATAAATAAATAAAATCTTTAAAAAATAATAATAAATCGATAATACATTTAGGTGTCAGATGTTATAGTGAATTCTGTTATGAAATAGGCACATAGAAAAGTATAAGCTCTATAAGGACAAGAACTACATGTCCATTATAATCCTGGCACACTGGCCCTGGCATCTAACACATACTCAACACATGAGCACTGAATATTTAATTTAGGTTAGTCTATTACATGGAAGGATATTACACTTAGCCTTCTACATCATCTTTATTTAGGGTTCAAATCCCAACTTTGCCACTTATGAGCTGCATAACCATGACAAGTTGCTTAACTGTATAGTGCCTCCGTTTCCTAATCTGTAAAATATGTATAATATCAATATCTACCTGACACAGCAATTTTTAAAATTAAATGGGATATTATATACAAATGCTTACAACAGTGCCTGGCAGAGTGGGCCCTGAATAAAGGTCAGCTATTCTTATTATCATCATTATTATATGGTCAGCACTACTACAGATGTTGTGAAGAATTGACCTGAAGTATAAGACATGTTTCCTGCCCTCTGGCTGCTTAAAATCTCATTCAGAAGGGGTTCTGCAAACAAACAAATTAATAAACAAACAAAAATCTAGATATTAACCATGGGCACTGTATTTCATGGCCTCCTCACACTTCTTTGATGTCTGACTATTTCCACTTAACACTGACCTTTCATAATAATTTCTTAATAACTCACTATTCTAATCATATAAACATCTGCCAGGGATAATAGTTATATATAGCCAGAGGATTTTCTATCCTCCTTCCTATAGCAAGTGGCATGGTTTAATTGTAATTCCCATATTCAATTCTAATTCTTCTGCCTATCTTAGATGGATGCTATAAGAATGTATAAAATATTGTTTTCAGAGCTCACTAAGCATATCACAGCAAATAGTGCCAATCAGAACATCTCTATTGATTATTGATAATAACACAGTTGTCCTTTGGGCATAAGGTTATAACCAAGCTCTAACTTCTCTAATTTTACATCTACATATATATCTATAATCTCCCACATTTACATTTGCATACACATACAAATTCCAATTTTCAAAAATTCTTATTTGTCAAAGAATTGACAGAGAAAAATATTACCAGGGGCAGAAAGAATTGCTTTCTTATGAATGTTTATGAAGATAAAGTTCTATATGAGGTGATATTAAAGCTATGTTCTGAACTTTCATGCTGCTGCTTGGCAGACAACACCAGCCATCAACAGTAATTTCCTTCCAGCATTCCAACTAATCAGCTCATGAGACTCAAGACATAATTCCACAAGTATAGCTGCCATGAATCTTTTACATTTCCTGTCAAAAAAATCCACTTCACTTAGGGTAATTACTCTTTAAATCATGTTCTTTCTGTATTCTTCCAAACATCATCTGATTAACCGTTTGTTAACGTTACCAAAAAGTACAGCTTTACAATGAACCAAATTGCAGAAGACAAAGAGGTTGGAGGTTTAAGGTCTCACCACTACACTCAGGCTCACCTAACAAGAAAAGATCATTAGACCTCTCCTGCTTACTTAGCTCCCCTATGGCCAGGGACAAACAAACAGCAAACTCTACATTTACTGATTTCTCATTTTTCTCAATGTCTAGTCTCAATTTAAGGTAAAAGATTTGTTTAAAATGTCAAATGAGCCAAAGAATACAGTAAGTCAGAATCTTGTAAGTCCCATGTGGTTCCATTTCAAAATCTGGTGGAATCATACCTATATTTACAAATAATTAGAAAAGACCAATTATAAGTTATTTTTATTATCCATTGAATTTGCCCGTAGCATTTTCCTTGGCTGAGGATTCAGATACTAAAAATTTACTATCATTCTTTTTCTATTTTCTCTGATTATTCATCTATTTAAGATATTCATTTGTATCCACATGAGGCAAAACTATCTGGAAAGAGAGTGAGTCTAAAAATGAAGGAATCTAGTTTCTTTCACTATCTTAACCACTAAATAACTCTAGGTCCCTGAGGAAACTTGTTATCCTCAAAATTATTCAGTTTTCTTATCTGTGGAGAATAATATTAGCCAAACTTGCCTTCCAGGTTATTGTAAGGTTAAAGGAAATAATGTTTGTGACTGCATTTGAGGAAAAAAAGTTCTACACAAATGCATATTAGTAAAGTTAACTTTTTGCTTATAGTTAACTTCTATTCTAGGAAATGCCTAAAATATTGGCATACATGAATGTCTTACTATGATACTGCAACTCAACTATAGACAAAGACTAAACACTCCTTGTAATTCTTAACTATATTGTACCTTTAAAGATTTTTAAACATTTTCATTTGTTTATGCAAAATTTGTTTAAATTGGGGGGAATTACTTTGTAAAGGAAAACCAGGCATTGTCTTTATGACCTTATGGTAAAGGGTAAGAAGAGTTTGTAGCATTGAGTCAGCTACAAAAGCACCATTAAACTGATGCACAGATAACTCTAGCCCTCTCTCTGAAATATTTCAACTCAATACCAAGGGAAGACTTCAGGTGATTAGTTTATGCCACCATAAAAATTAATAATAATAATAATAATAACGTAATCATAAACGTTCTTTTCACACAAAAAGCAGGTCCAAATTTCATAGGTATGCAGAATTGAATCCAACCCATACTGGGCTACTGGTTTATAGAGTAGCCTTGTATTTATTAGACTTTTTTATTAGGATGTGACAGCTTCAAGTTAGTCAGTGTTCCACGAAGAACTTGAAAACCAAAAAGTTATATAATTTCAGTTTGTATTATACAAATATCAGTTTGATATTCAGTTTGTATTATCCAAATATTAGTTCTTGGGGGATTCTTGCACAATCACACAGAAAGTTCAAACTTGAGGCTATGAACTGTAAAACAAAATCTTTCCCAAAGTACCAAGTAGCATAGACAAATACCCTCATAGTGGATAGTGGTAATCTTTATAAAGAAAGCGTATCTTGGGCAGCCTGGGTGGCTCAGTGGTTTAGCGCCGCCTTCAGCCCAGGGCGTGATTCTGTAGACTCAGGATCGAATCCCACATCAGGCTCCCTGCGTGGGGCCTGCTTCTCCCTCTCTCTCTCTCTCTCTCTCTCTGTCTCTCATGAGTAAATGAATAAAAATCTAAAAAAAAAAAAGCATAACTTATAAACACTAAAACCTAGCGGTTTTTTTCTTCCATATGTATAAATTCTAGTCAAAAATTCTTGGGAATTATAATCATTAATCATAGATTTTCAGGTGCTTTCTTTGATTTAGAAAAGTCTTCAGGTTTTGGAAGCCACATAACGTGGTAACTTGAAGGATAACTTGATGAATACACCACTGTGTGTTTTCTGAGAACCGATAATTTTATTTTACTTCACTTTGTATCCCAGTTTTAAAGTCAAGGACTGGCCTGCAGTAGGACTTCAGTACGTATTAATCCAGCCCATAGGGACAGGAGAAGCAGAAAGTCCTGAGGTCATTATGCTCTGAGGAAATAATATTTACTGTTAGGTTTATACTACAATACAGCGGAGCTTTCTTCAATCAAGGGGAGGGAGAGCTGTAGAGGTAGGTAAACTGGAGAAAGGATGCTGATTCCCAACTTTCAAGCAACCCTACTCCGCTCATTTCTGTCAGTGATGCCAATCAAGAAAACATGGAAAGAGGAAAACTAGTGGTGAATTTCCTATTCTGTGTGTGCTGACCAATTCCCAGCCCCTGCCCCACCCCCCAACCCCCTACCACCCATCCCCACACCCCATTCATTTCGGGATTTTTTTTCCGGGCCTCCCTCAGAGGTATCTTTCTTATTTCTCTTCTTCAGGATTCAGTACTCTGCCCCTTCGCCTGCCTACAGGTCCTCTCCTAAATGAATCTAGGAGGTGCCTAGAAAGGGCAGGACGGAAGGCGACCCGCTGAGAGGCCCCAGCAGAGCGCGATAAAACCCCCTCCTGGGCAGCCCCCGGGGCGGGGGGCCGGGGCGGGGGCGGGGGGGGGGCTCAGCAGTTCAGCGCCGCGTTCAGCCCGGGGGGTGACCCTGGAGACCTGGATGAGTCCCACGTCGGGCTCCCTGCATGGAGCCTGCTTCTCCCTCTGCCTGTGTCTCTGACTGTGTGTGTGTGTGTGTGTGTCTATGTGTGTGTGTGTGTCTCATGAATAAATAAATAAAATCTTTAAAGAAAATAAAAAACCGAGGACCCCTGGGTGGCCTGGCGGTTTAGGACCGCCTTCAGCCCAGGGCATGACCTTGGAGACCCGGGATCGAGTCCCACATTGGGCTCTCTGCATGGAGCCTGCTTCTCCCTCTGCCTGTGTCTCTGCCTCTCTCTCTCTCTCTATCATGAATAAATAAATTTAAAAAAAAAAAAACCTCCTCTTCCCGCGCCCCCCCCCACCCCGTGCGCGCCGCGGGGCTGAGCGTTGGGGCGGCGAACGAGGAAAGAGCGGACTGTTGGGGCAGGAACCCCGAACCCGGGGGTGTTTCCCGAGGGCAGATAAGGCCAGCGCCGGGTCCTGCGAGGTGTCTCCATCCTCGCTCCTCGCAGGACCCCTCGCGGGGGCGGCCGCCTCCACGTCTCCACGCCACCCGGCCACCCGGGAGCGCACCGCCCAGCTCCGGGCCCCAGCGCGGGCAGCCCGGCTCCCGCGGCCTGCACCCGTCCCGCAGAGGCCCCCGCCCGCGCCCCCGCCCCGCGCCCCGCCCCGCCCGCGCCTACTCACGTCCGCGCCCGGCGTGCCCGGCTTGCCCGGAGCTCCTGGCTTGCCCGGTTCTCCTGCAGGACCCTGAGCGGGGAGGGGGCGAGGTCGGGAGACAGAGAAAGAGGCGACATTGAGACTCTAGGGATTCACGGGGCTGCGAACCGCGTCTAAAGAAGAGAAGCGAAGAGCGAATACGCTCATCAACTTACCGGGGGGCCCGGGGGACCCTTGGGACCTCGGTCACCCTGAAGGGGGAGTAGAAAAGGCGAGAGCAGTCCATGAGTGGGAGGCGCTGAGGACCCAGCTGGGAGACTCACACGCGTGTTCTCCGCACGCATCGGGGACGGGGACGGGGTAAAAAATGGTGGAGAGGGACCAATGGGGACAACTGAATGCGTCTTCCTTATCCCTCCGAAAATCCCCAGGCTCCTAGGATCCACCCCAGCCCTCACCCAAGCCCTAGCCGGGCATCTGGTCGGATCAAAAACCCCATCAGCCCTCAGGAGAAAGGGTTAGGGACCGGCCAGACTGGAGGAACAGAGCCCTGGACGTGGAAACTTACGTCGATGCCATCGATGCCTGGAACTCCAGGGGGGCCGGGGGGCCCCGGGGGCCCCTGCACGCCTGGGGGACCTCTCTGACAAAAACAGCACATGCGGGTTAATGGAGCACTTTGGGCAACAAGGAGAAACTGGGCACAACGTCCTGAGGCCCCCCACTTCCACCCTTCCTTTGGACACTTCCCTTTGGAGGAAGGAGTTTTGAAACCCATCAACAAGTAGGAAACTCCCAAGCTGACCCCAGGTTTCTCTGGTTCCTCCATATTTTGAATGAGTCTTACTAGTGTGGTTGGAGTAGGATCTAGGCCCCAAGGTGGGCACTGGGGCCACAGGGCCTCACCCCTACAGAGACCATTAAACCAAAAGAGGTCTTGAGGAAAGGAAGGCCTTTTGCCTCTTTTTAAAAAAGGGATTCAGCAAATAAATAAATAAATAAATAAATAAATAAATAAATAAATAAGGATTCAGTAATGAAATGGTGCTCATTAACTACCTCGATTTGATTAGTAACTGAGAGTCAGTGTTGGGGCCAAAATGGAACCGCGCAGAATGGAGGCACTCCTCCAGATGATTCCAGGATCATTTTGTAAATTTTTCTAGGTCCACTAGAAATCAGGGAGAAATGCTGGAGGAAAACTGGGGAGCGTGGGATCAAAGAGCCTTGACACCCAGGAAGGCCCTGGCCTTATTTCGGACTTACCTGCAGTGACACTCTTCTTGCATGAGGTCTTTGCACCTCGCTTTAAAACTACACCAAATTTCAGACTGACCCTAGGGTATTACTGCTTTTATCGCTTGCAAACAGCTAAGCTTTGATGGTGTTGGAGGGAATACTGGCGTCTGAAAATAGCAGGAGCATGTTGCTTAGGGAATGTGGGATTTTTTCCCCCTCTCCTAATTTAAAAAAAGAAGAAGAAAGGGCGGGGGGAGTTTCTTTCATCAAGGAAAACTTTGTTTCTCTAAACCCCAATGACCAGACAGGTTACAATGGGGTCTTTGTAAGTGAAACCTCAAACCTCTACTGGGCTCACCCGCCCCCGCCGGGTCCTCTACCGCGCGGGAGGGAGGAGACGCCGGAGCCTTCGGGGAAATGCTGAAATTATGACTGATGCCGGCCAAGGCCGCCCGGTTCCAGTCCCGGAGCCGCGGGGCTCGGGGTCTAGTGCGGCCACCGCGGGCTGCTGGAGCGGGAGGGGGAGCTGCAGCGCCGCTAGCCTGAATTCCCGCCCTCTCCAGCAAGGCCTGGCTCTTGAATGCAACCAGGAGGGGCGAAGTGGGGGAGTCAAGAAGCAACCTGGTAAACGGCCCAAGTTTAGCGACCGGTCCCAAGTCACTAAAGGCCTTCGGAACCTCTACCTGCAGTGTTGGGGCCAAGGAGGGGGAGAGGACGCCTTTCCCGACCTAAGGGTCATTTGGGGTCCCCACTCCGACGGTACTCGCTGCAGGTGCTCAAGGCTGGAGGAAGAACGTGGCCAAGAGCCCAAGGAGAGCTCTGCGCCTGCCCCCAACTCCCGCGACGGCTGCTCCTCCACTTTCCCCTGCGTGCACTAGGAAAGTGCAAACACTCGCCCTCCGCTTACCTGGTCCGCGGTCTCGCTGGGCTGGAGGAGAAAAGACAGAAAGTGAGAAGGCTCTCCCCACCCGCCAAACTCCAGCACAACTTACTTGAGCCATGCACAAGCAGAGCCCAGACAGCAGCAGTCGCAGCCCTAAGGCCCCTCGATCCCGCGCCGTCCAGGCCATGCCCGCCACCCTCTGCTAAGCCCCTGGGCGGACACTGCCTCGGCCGCCCCGCTAGGCTTCCGGACCCGTCACACGCATCAAGTGCACGTCTCCCGGGCAGAAAGCGCCCCCGGGAGTAGTTCGTCTTTGCAGAGGTGCCCAGCCGGGGCGACTACGTTCCTCCTGTTTATGAATGGCCCTGGAGAGGGTCCTGGGGATTGGAGGAGAGCTTGCGGGCTGGAGGCCGGATAGAATGACAACAGTCCCCCTTAACCCCTTCCCTGCCGCCACACAGGCACGTCTGCCTCCGGGGCTTCTGCCTCTGCCCATCCGCCCAAGTGTAGGCTCTTGCTGTCCACTATGGGCCGCGAATGGACAGCCAGTGTTCTCGGGAGAAATGTTTGAGGGGGGAGGAGTGAGGATAGTAAGCCACCAAAGGTAGAACCAGACACCCCGAGGTGGTTTCTACTTGGCAGGCTGTGAGTGGTGCTACCTTAGTATCTATCTGGTCCCTAACAGGAAAGCCTGAGCTCCTTAGAAAAAGAGCAAGGAGGTTGGGAGTTGAAGGAGTTGAAGGGAGGTAGGCTGGGTGGAAGTGTCCTTTGCAGGTGGTCAAAGGACTCACAGTTACCCGAACTGGCAGCTCATGGCAAGTCTCTCTCCTGGGGCGTAGTGGGTCACAATGAATCAGCATCCACTGAAGTTCAAACTGGAGAAAAATAACGGATAGTCAATTCAGATTCTTTTGGAGGACAGAAGCAAATCATTTAAGAGAGAAATGGGTTTGTAAGTGTGGTCCAATTGTTAAGTGACTGGAGACCAATTTGAACCAGTTGACCTCAGTGGACCAGTACTCTTGTTCCTTGAATACAGATTTTTCCAATGGAAATGGGCTAGAAGCCCTTCCCAAGTCTCTCTGATGAGTGAATATAGATTCTTGTAGCTCTGCGGTATCCCAGCAGAGCCCTAGGCAGGAACAGACCAGTGGCACTGACTTTCCATTTCTGTCCTTCCCACATCCTCAAGATGCAGGTTCTATTAAAATAAGGTCCTGAGAGAACAAGAAACCGTCCAAGTGACAAGCCAAGATGAGGGTCATGGAATCCAGGCCTACTGAACTTCACAAAGAACACATGTGCTAAAAGTTAACTTGGGAGATTAGAGACAGAGATAGCCAAAGAGATGGCACCTAGGGAAAAGAGGGGAAAGAAAATCCAGTCCTGGAAAAAATTTGCATGCTAGAGAAAACATTCTCCATGGAGTACTCACAGTTGAAAATGGAAATAGGAAGGACTAGAAATGGAAGGAATGAAAAGGAAATCTAGACCTCAGGGGAAAAAACAAGAGAATAGAAAACATCTAAATTTGGTATTATCGGGACACCTGGGTGGCTCAGCGGTTGAGCGTCTGTCTTTGGCTCCGCGTGATCCTGGATCAAGTCCCACATTGGGCTGTGGGAGGCACCTGCTTCTCCCTCTGCCTGTGTCTCTGCCTCTCTCTCTGTCTCTAATGAATAAATAAATAAAATCTTTTAAAAAATAAATAAACAGGATAAATCAATCAATCAATCAATAAATTTGGTATTATCTCATTCATTGGGTAAAGAGATATAAAATTTTCAGATACCTGAAATTCAAATGCACCCTGACAAGTTCTTACATTTTAGTAGGTGTTAGGAGAGAAAGAAGGGAACAGTTGAGAAACAGTACAATGGAAGAGTGTCCAGGTCTGAAGCTGAAGGCCTCAGGTGACAAGGTTAAAAAAAAAAAAAAAAGATATATACCACCCAGCACCTCCATTCTGACCTATCTTCTTAAATTGAGGAAGTTCTTTGCTAGTCATCTCAATCAAATCAGATCCATATTTCCTGGTCAGTTGATTCTTATGGCATTACGCAAATGACTAATTATGTATCAAGGCCCCAAATCTAAAACATTATGTCTTTTCTTTCATCCAGTAGTGATTTACACTCTATCCCACCTGCCAAAAGGTCTCTAGATCTGTTGGATCTAGCATTCAGTTAGATACACTTTTTCCGGTTGTTGTGAAAACATCCAGAGTTGGGTTACTGAATGAAAGATCAGAATTGGAAAGATGAAGGATGAAGTTCTTCCCTTCTACCCATAATGAAGGGAAAGTTAAACAGAAGGAAGTTTTCTATTTTATAATGGGGTGAAAATAAGACATTAAGCTTTCAGATTCCTGCATTTGCACCTCTTCTTAGATGATTCTAAATGTACTAGTTGCTCTCAACCCTTACCATACTCTTCTCCAGATAATATGGATATCTAGAAAAATAAGGTAAGTGGATGAAAAGAAAGTAAGCAGCTAAACCAAGATATATTTTAAGATGGAAAGCTCTCTATAAATTGTATGAAAATTGTCTGTTTATCATATAAATTATTTAACAATAGCATTTAACATCCTACAAAAGAACTGCTTTTTAAGCACACAATTATCTTACAGTTAAGAAAATCATTTCATCAAATACTTTATTAGGGTAGTCTCATTCGCTTGGGAGGGATTTTTATTTTGGTTTTGTTCTAAACTGCAGTGGAAATTTTAATAGGAAGATAAATGAAACAATGGGACAACCTTTTCCTTAATGACTACTAATACCTAGCTATGCCTCAAACAATTCTTTGAAGCCGTTCATACATGAGTAAAGTGGGGCAGAGTGGTTAAATCATTTGCCACAGGTCACACAGCTGGAAAAAGACATAGCTAGCATTCCAAATGTGTCTGACTATAGAATAAGGGCCTTCTCTACTCCTCTACTTAGCCTCCCCCAAGAATATATCTTATCTCCAGAATGAGCCATAATTTTGTAAGCCAGTAACCAAGGAATTTGGTAATTGAACATTTGTATTAAGGATGAATAGAAAAGAAGAGTGATCTAGAAGTTAAAACTTTGCAAGCTTACGTCCAACTAGAAAACTAGAAAACTTTAGAAGAAGACTAAGGAACTTCCCCTAAGAAGTCAAACCTTTCCCTCTCCCTCTCCCTCTCCCTGTTTGCCTGCTTATTACACAAATGCATCCAGAAGCAAATTTCTAATCCTTCTTCAAAAACTGTCAACTGTTTCTATATGCAGTTACATATTCATGTGTATAATAAAATATCAAATAGGGAAGAGGGTTTTAATTCTTCTTCTTCAATGATTAGATAGAAATATCACCAGAATAAGATGTCTCCCCCTGCAACTCTCAAAATAGGAAACACCATTCATATATTTTTTTCACTAAGTCCCTTGTGAATTGGTAATTCACACTAGGCATGCATTATATATGTATGATATTTGGATTCTCAAAAAAATTCATAGGTTAATCACCTTGAGAAACTTTAATTATATGGCTAACTAAGAAACCTATATCCTTCTTTTAGATAGTTCATTAAAGTTACTTATTGTAAATGCAAAGTAATTCATTAAGCTGTTTTCTCAAAAATGTAATTCTCTCTGGATAAATTGGTACACCTGTTTAAATATGCAAGATGCAATTGTGGCACAGGATAATGGGGGAGTGAATGTAATTCATCTGTGAATACAGGCTGGGTTGTTCAGAGTACCACATAGATCAGAGGTTTCTGCACACATCTGTGCTTCCACATAAACACCACCTACGCACTAATAATCATCTATACAACAACCATTTTTTGGCAAGCAATATGAATTCTGATTTGCATGTTAATTATTTTGAGGGAAGATTGGCAGAGTTCCTTACTAAAAGTCACTTTCATTGCACATCTAAACTGCTGATTTCCACATGTTTCTCCTTTTCATACCTGGGATCACTGTTTGCTTTGAATAACCACTGACAAAATATATGTGACAAATATTTTAATTTAGTCCCTCAGTCAACATTTTTGAAGTCCTAATACAAGCCACACACTAGGGAAACATTCCAGGGAAACCAAAGATATTCTCCTCCCCCTAATGAGTTTGCAGTTTATAAGACTTGAGAAAAACACAATAGAGAAATAATATCAGTTAAACAGAACATAAGTGCCCTAGCACAATTCATCCTTTTTGACATAAAATACTTCACCATTGTCTCAGGGAAAATTGAGTTGTGTGATTGTACAGTGCCTTATATCACCCAGATTTGGCATTATACAATTCTTTTCTATAGAACACTAGGTATAATCCCATCTCCTAAGCCAGAGTAGCGTCCAGCAGACCACACATTAAAACAAGGAATTTTGGCACCAACTCTGATAAAGTGCTGATGATTCCTATTTATTTGGTAGGTTGTTGAGAAAAATTAATAAGATATTTAAGCTCTTCATAAAAATTAAGCAAAAACTAATAGCAGACACACTATCTTTTCCTCCTGAGAGCATTCTAATGACAAACTATAGAACTTGATTCACTATAAATGAGAATGGCACAAGGCTAGATTTTTTGCATTACTGAATTATGATTACATTTTACAAGTATAAAATACCTAAAAACTAGCTCTTCAAAGATAAATTTTTTTAACAGGAGAAATGTTTCATCAAGCTTTTGTCTCCTCGGTGGCAACAAAGATTTAAAGAAATACTTGAACTCAGATCTCATTTTCCTTTTCCTTTTCAGTTTATGACAAAGTGTTGTTTTCTAGCATCATGAGGGAATCTCCTCCAATAAAGCTTCCTAGTTACTAAACAGGAGGCTCTGAGCTGCCCTGAAACCAGAAATTTTCCCAACTTTCTGTAGACTAGGCCCTGCAGTTCCAGACATAGTGCTAGGAATTGTCATTAAATCTGAGTGGGTGACAGTCAGCTGAAACATACAAAGGCAGAGGCAGAACAGTGAAAGGAAACAGCAGAAGACTTAGAGTTAGCAGACCTGGCATGACTACTTTATCTTTTAATCCAACATTTCTTTATATAACACATTCATGTGCTTTAAGATAGAACCTATGGAAGACATAAAAATGTTTATTTAGTACATAGGGGAGCTTTAGGGCTAAATATTGCTTTTGACAATATATAACATTGCAGTTGATGTACAGTATGGATGGCTAATGTCATCAGCAAGGGGATCATATAAACTGTAACGTGAGTGAGGCCCTGAAGAGCAATTGAGATTTTCACAAGTAGAGATGGAGAGGGTAAAGATTAGAGTTCTAAAGAGAAGAGGTGGCAGGAACACAGCACAAAAGAAATAAGTGATGTATACAGAAGGGACCAGATTCACTGTGGCAAACCATAGACATTAGATTTTTTTTTCTCTGTTGAATTTTGAGCTGAGGAATTTGAGTAGTATTGGATAACTAATTATTGGGCCATCATCAAAGATTTTTCTGTACCAGGGATCTGGATGGGGAAAGGGGGCCTAATTTAAAAGGAGAGTCATATGGTAATAGAGGCCAGGCCCCTGGAGTCAGAAACAGGCTACTTTAATAGAGCATAAAGGAATGTTACACTGAACTATAATGAGTCCTCAGTTGTCTGCCCACTTAAAAAAATCAATCCTCCCCTCATGCCACATTCCCCTTCAGCTGCCATCTTGTTTTCTGCTCTTCTCCATTTAAAACTCAGAAGAGTTATCTATATTCATTGCCTCCAATTCCTCTCCATTCTACTCTCTCTTGAAGCCTTTCCAACTGGACTTCACTCCCAATACTCCAATAGGTCTTTTCTGAAAGTCACTTTCATGGGTTTTTGAAACCAATATTAAATCTCACTCTTCATCTTATTTAATCCATCTATAGCATTTGAGTGAGT